CTTTCATCGTCATTATTGCAGTCGGTGCACGTCACGTAACTCTATATCGGATCACAGTCTGCAAAAAGGTCTTGTGATGCATAGCAGTCACTGTTGTATTATGAGTATACTCAGTTTCATCTATTTCAAGCTCATTTTCACTGTCATTATCATCGTCAATGCATGCCACATTGTCTTTTAACTCGTCATAGTCTGCAAAAAGATCTTCGGATGCTTTGTAGCACACTAAAAAGTTATTCTGTGCGTTCAAAGTGTTATTGTCATTATGATTATCACTTTCATCAGGCTGTGAGTCACTTTCATTGTTGACACGTAAGTCATCATAGTCTTTAAAAAGATCTTCCGATGGTTCATAACATGATGTATGTTTTTTCTGCAATCATGCATGTCACCTGCATCATCGCCAGTAGCACTTGTATCACCATAATCAACACTAAATTCACCACCAAAATCACTATCACCAAGCATTACTGGGGTGTCAACGTGAGAACTGGCGTCAAACACAAGCTCAGGAATACTGTAATGGGCTCCTGAACCCACACCAGAAGGCCTGGCCTCACTCGAGTCTTGCTCTAATATCGGGCAGATATTGCACAGCACTTCTCACACCCGTGGAACACGAATAGCGTCAATGTTACGCCGAAAGGTTATAAAAAATATCAGTAGAACGTACACTAACCTCCTGATGCTAAAATACGCGCTAAAACTAAGGAGGAGGCAGCGTCTGGGCCGAGGAGCTGTGATGTAGCAAGGGGAAATCCATTGTGATTGGCTGCCTCAGGGAGTATGGTCTCTGAGGGAGGCGTGCTGTCATTGGCTCGTGCTCCTCTCGCTCTGAACTTTCTGGAACTGAGCACACAGCCAGATACGTAGCTCCAGGCATGAGGTAAAATCACACCTTATTTTTTAAGGACTTTCCACCATATTTCTATTCTAGCTAGAGGGTTACATCCAATGCCAACATGTAGAGGAAGGGTGAAAATAGTGTTAGCCATCAAAAAATGCATTTTGGCCGGGGTGTGGCTTTATCCCCTTCTGACGCTGATCGCCTCATTTGTACTTTTCTTTTTTATCCCTACGCCCCGGTTGACATTCCGGAATGTCCATCTAGTGGCGCCCCGGTTGACATTCCGGAATGTCCATCTAGTGGCGCCCCGGTTGACATTCCGGAATGTCCATCTAGTGGCGCCCCGGTTGACATTCCGTAATGTCCATCTAGTGGCGCCCCGGTTGACGATGCGGAATGAGCGCCTTTTTGCAGCATTGTTTGAATGCCCAGCGCAGGTTATCAGGTTCCGGTGACTATTTGCATGTCACGCAACACACTTGGCCACAGGGAAGCTTCCTGAATGTAAGTACCTACTTTTGTTTGTTTCAGTTTCATTGTTTGTCCATTTTATCATGTTGTATCAAAGTAATATTGCTAAAAGTAGTGTAGTTGTATTGTAGTGTAGTATTACTGGAAAATAATGCTATAATTATGTTATAAATGCATTTATTTGTAGAATTATTATTCCGATAATTATCTATATGCATTACTTGCTCTGCCAAACACAAAGACAGCCTGGCGACAGACTGTGTGTGTGTCGCCGAGCACTTTATATAAAAAATAATGCAAATAAAATATTCTAAATGAATTATTTATAGCAAATCAGTATTATGATCAGTAAATATATTCATTGCTGGCCATCCCAGACACAATGACAAGCAGAAAATGGCCGCTAAGTGCGTAGTGATCACAAGCGCTAGCCGTCAAAACAACACTGTCCCCTTATTCCCCTCGCCACTGCGGCCACAGGGAAGTTTCTAGAGGTTCAATATACTGTATAGTTTTTTACTTCATTTTTATTGTTTTATCATCTAAAAAGGTCAAAAATTATTTTGGGTAAAGTTGGTTTTTCTCGATTTACCCCCGCATGGGGGATACGGCCAGCAGCACCCTAGCCCAGGGCATAGGGGTTAATAACAATGCAAGTCTCAGAGGCTTACTTATATAGTACATGGATATATAATGCGCACTAAATCAATAGAATTTAATACAGTAGTCACCAGATATGGTGAAGGAAAGTTTTTGTAGAGGCTAGTCAAAATAGTGACAGCAGTGTACAAATTCTGTACAACATTCATTACCATGCTGTACAAGATGTACATTTTGAAAGTCAGAAATAGGGGAAAAGGACAAATTAGTACGGTACTGCTCGGGCTGACCGTATATAACTGAAGAAAATATACATAAATCATAACACTGAAAAGCAAGATCACTTTAATATACTGTACAGTAGTTCATTATTTTGACGATAACCTACAGTACATTCCCCTTCACCCCTGAAGAGGACCATAGGTTATGGTAGAAATATACAGGAAAACCTCTATTTACAACATCCCAATCTATGATACTTCACGTTAACGATGCTGATACAGTATATTAAGACCACTTCCCTATTTGCGATATAAACAAATTTACATTAATGATATTCGTCATCCTGCCAACTTGGCATTTGGAACGCTTCACGCACTTCATTTGTCAGCCGAGGCATCATCTACTCAAACGCTGCCTCGTGGTTATCTGGAGGACTACAGTCCAGGCTGCTGCTTCTTCCTCCTCCTCCTCCTTGTTGTTGTTGTTGCTTACATGTGTATAAGAAATGGAGCTCAATGTTTATCAGTCATCATCGTTGTTGTTGTTGTTTTTTACCTTACAGTGAGAGGACATCACTAAAGTTCATATTGTACTCTGTTTTAGTGACTGAAATTATTTTGCTCTGATTGTGAAGTGCTTTTCCCTGTTTTAGTGAGAGAGGGAGGGGGGAAGCGCCCCTTGAAGGGAGAAAGGGACCACGTGGTCACCAGTCAGTTTTCCTCGACACTCCATCCTACCCACTGCATCTCAATGCCTCTCACTCATTCTTCTATGACTGCCATTCATTATATAATATTGTACAGTACACTATTTATTGTCATTCATTAAATAGTAAAGATACGTTACAGTAATTATCTCCATATGAGGTCTGACAATTAAGTTCACGAACTCATGCTACAGGCGCCAGTATGTACCGTACTGAGGATCAGTGCTGTGATCCCCTTCAAAGTATTCCCTTTGCGATGCTATACACGAATGCCAGTGTTTCTTCCACCCCTGGAAACATTTCTGGAACTCACTTTCTCCAGTAGTTCGCATGGTAGCCGCGAGGCAGCATGTAGGTAGATGAAGCTGCATGGAGGATGAAAAAGCAATTTCTTCGCATATCGGCCATCATGGATATGACAAGTGAAGGGAAAGATGCGCTTGCCAGTGTTTAGATTCCTCGTCAGCGAATTTAGAGCCTAACGATAACCACCAATAATGCAGATTTTCCCAAATGTAAATTGCAAAAGGGTGTTAAAACCTAATTAACATTAAATATATACTGTATATGTGTGTGTGTGCTTGTGTGGAAAATACTATAGACTCCATGCTCAGTATTTCCCAGAATTTTTCCTTCATAAAATAGTTTTCAGTGAAGGGAAGGGAAGGCAGAACAGTAATTACAACAAATTATCATCAAATCCATCTACCGGTACTTTTCTGATACCACATTTTGTTTAAATCCAATACAGTGGGGTATGCTATAACGAACGGATCCTACTACGAATATTCCTATAACGAACGGTTTTACCTATAAAATTGAGAATGCTATAACGAACGCAACTCCTACAACGAACGCGGATGAATACGGGACTATTTCGCCTGGCGCATGAATATTGTTGTACCGCGACCCACAACAAGAGCGTCAGGCGCCATCTTTGTCTCATTGTGTAGCCAGTGCACCACTGTTATTGTTGAAATTTCGTCTTTTGATGTGGAAATTCGCGTTATTTGTATAACTATTTTGTTATACAAGTATACAATTGTAACAATGAGTCGTCCAAAGCGAGTGAGAAAGCTAATAACACTTGAAACTAAGAAAGAAATTGTAAAGAAACGTGAGAATGGAAGAAGCATTGCGAAACTTAGTGATGAATATGGGATGGCTAAATCGACTATATGTACGATTTTGAAGAATAAAGAGGAGTTAAAAACTGTGCAAGTGGCTAAGGGAATCTTTAGACTTAGCAAAGCAAAGTGTAATGTGATTGAAGAGATGGAAAATTTACTCTTAGTGTGGATAAAGGAGAAAGAAATGGCAGGTGGTAACATTAGTGAAGCTATAATTTGTGAGAAGGCTAAACAATTGTTTGAGGACCTTAAAGCCAAGACTCCCAGTGGAAGTGATAGTGATGTGCCAGTGTTTAGGGGTACCTGCATGCTGAATAACACTAAGGTAAGATAAAGTACCGTATTTTTTACATTTTCCACAGAATTTTTTCAGTGTTAAGTGGTTGTATTTGGGGGCCTGGAACGGATTAATCCTATAACGAACGAATGCTATAACGAACGAGGTTCTGGAACCAATTACGTTCGTTATAGCATACCCCACTGTACTGTACTTTTTCACATTATTGTAGGTGCACATACGCACAAATGACCTTTCTATGTCACCCTCCTGCAGTGGATGAAGGAATTAAAATAATTTGCTCATAAATATGAGCAAACTATGGTCCATGCAATCCAATGACAACATGAGGAAAATATTAAACAAGTAAGAGTACAATAAAGTACATGAAAAACATGACCACCCCTCAAGGAGTGTTCCTGGAGGGAATGAGTATCACTAGCTTAAGTGTGGTCAAAGTAAATACCTAAGGAGAGATTATTTGTGAAAAGATATACTGTACATCTAAAGAGTAAACTAAGTACAGTGTAGTTCAAAGTGTAAGTACAGTACAGGCTTGTTATCTATCTCAGTTTTGAGATGGCCTTCCTACTTGGCTATACTGTATAATAAAATTATATACAGTAGGTAAGCTACATAAGTACAAATAAAATTTAGTAGTAAATTGTAAAAACTGAAGAAGCATGTACAGTTAACTCACTTCCTCCAGGATAAAATAAAATATAGAAAAAAGTATATCACACATACCTCATTCCTTTCTTCATCATCCACTTCGGGATACCAAAGACTCCACTTGATGATTCAATTCCGGTAACACTGGAATCTTCCATGGTGACTAGGTTTTACAATTTTAATATAAGGTGAATCCACAAAAAAAGTAAGTTGAAATTAAACTAATTTGGCACTGACAAACTACTGTAGTTCTTTGTACACTAAAAGTCACAAACCAAGTAAAGTAGAGTACAGTACTGTACTGTACTATGTAGTTATAACAATAATTTCAAACAAGGTCCAATATCTTAAGAACATGTCCTAATCATTTGACAAAAGCTATGTACAAAAATGAAAAACAATAAAGATGAAAACTAATTCAAGCAGGAGCAATCTTGTTTATTGATGCCAACAAGGACAATGTCGTAAGTCTTCTAATCATCATGGTGATAAATCTGCAAAATGAAAAATTACTTTACAAACTGCATTTTTTATGTTATACTACATGTATAAACTTTTACACTGAACATATAAAATACAAGATATAAAACAGCTACAGAATAATATCATGAAGATAAGCAGTGAGACATAATTCAAAGAGCATAAAGCATTAAACCATTGCAAATATTTGTAGTACAGTATTAGCATGTTTATAAATTTCACTCATAACTGTGAAAACTTAAGAACTGGTATGCTGCTATGAAATGCAAAAGAAATGGCTCAGTATCAGGTAACTTTTCAACTTAAAAAAAAATTATGAATTCAGTACAGTTAAAAACTAAATTCACATTTTTGTCAGTACACAGCGCGATCACTAACGTCGGTACTAGAAAATACGACGGCCAAACACCAACTGAGCGGCCTACGACGTGGATGCTGTACACCACGAGGCGGCCCAGCCCAAGCTATCGTACGGCGTCACATTACAACCGAACGTCGGGACTCGAAAATGTGTAATATGAAAAATATTTTAAATGACCATGGCGGTCGTATGTCTGGGTTGTCTTAAGTCGAATATGTCATAAGTTGAGGAGAGACTGTATATGAATATTAATTGTTTAATAAAGAAAACGATTCAAAATTGGTAAATATACAAAGTACAGAACAAATGAAGGTGATTTGGCACCAGTGTATATACCACCGAGCAGTGGTTTAACAATGTTTTTATTAAATATTTTTGTCTAATAAATTATCTGTATTATTTTACTTCAGGACATAGCGCGCCTGAAAGTTATAAACTACTGAAACATTTAGATCTTGCTATTCTGAGCATTTTGAACCCCTCTTTATATGGCAGAAATGGATAATAGCGGCACAATTTAATAAAAAAAAAACCGGTAAATTTCCGACGGAAATGAAGGTCATATTCGGTCTAAACACACACAAATACACTAGAAAAGTATATTTTTGACTTTCTAACAAAGTGGGCAGTGGAAGTGCAAACTTGCCAAAACCTACCTAACCTAACCTAACTTCCTAGCAGCAGGGCAGACCCCGTCATATTAAACAGAAAGTAGTTAGTCAATGAGAATACACTCACTGTAAAATAGCATTAGCATGAGAGTGACGGAAGAGTGACGGAAGAGTACAAAATGAAAGTTACTCAGAATTATGAAATACATATATCTATTGCATATGTAAAAAATACCCGATTACATGGTTGTATATAACTGAAATAATATCATTGGTATATATTCCAATATATCTCTTCAATATAATGAAACAAAAAATATACTAATATAAAGGTGTTTGGCCACTTTATGCCCAACCTGTAAGTGGTAGTTACTTTTTCCTGTAGAAGAGATTTCCCAACATTACTATACGTTCCTCTTTCTCACATATGATAACTCAAATATACCTTAAGCTTGTATATTATACGTATACTAATGCCATAATATGAGTAAAACATCTCCAATACTTAAACTAGATTAACTTACGAGACCGAGAAAATTATATTCCCGACAAATATGTACAAAGAGACAGAGACCGAGGAGCAGCAGGGAGTGTGTGAGGCACTTCCCGTGTTCTCTAATAGACTGGGTGTTCGAGACGCCTCTTGACTTGTGGCTTGGTTACTCATAGATAGATTGAGAGATAGATGGATAGATAGGAGATTTATTTATTATAATCATCTTAAAACTCATATTTGCTCACATAAAAAGAGCAGGTAAACAAAAACTAGTAAACAGTAGATTGATTTGTCTGCAGGCAGTCCAAGAAAGCTGTAAAGGTGCTAATGCCACGATTGTCTGACAAGTTAAAAACGTGAATTTAAACTAATAAAAATATAAATATATCAAAATAAATACATATACATATATGTCGCATAAAATATTACACTTGCGACCATAGATAGATTTCATATTCTTAATGTTCAGTATTAACAGACGCAAACAATTTTTGTACAAAGTTACAGCATGACTAAGACAGATGATCTGGGCGATATACTACTGTTAATGATTACTTAAAACATAATTAAGACAGCTTAATGATGTAGACCGAAGATTCGAATACACTACCTATTGTGTCTGTTGCCAGGGAAAAGTGTAGTTAAATATTTTACATTTTGGTTAAAGTTCATATGTCTATAAATATATTTCATATCCTTAGTTAAAACATTTTTAAATAACAATAATATCGTGATTATTTATTGATTATTCAAAAGAATTCACAACAAATACATTGACATTTAAAGTACTATCATAGCAACACCTGCAACTAGTCATCTAACAAAAGATATTTTCCAAATTTTAACATTTATAATTTATTTATTTATAATATTTAAGCCTTATCTCATTAAATTTTAATATTAACCGTAATATTTTGTGGAAATAAGTTTTAAGATAGGTAGCCTATGAACAGCAGCTTAGGTTGTTTACCAACAGAGGGCTGTGACGTCACGACAGAGAAATCTCAGGGTCGTCTGTTCTTAATGTGGTATTTTGGTACGTAACTCAAATATTAACCCCTTTTTTAATACTTAATATGTCATAATTTTAATATAAAACCACCCTCATCTTTGTGTGCTTGAAGTAGATATCATACTTCATCGAGTAGGCATCAAAATAGGCGAACCAAAATGCAATTTGATGTGCCTCAGAAATTTTAGGATTAGAGGAAATTTTTTTGTATAATATATTTTGTTTTGGGTGTTTTGTATGAATTATAAATGGCTTTATGTATTGTATTCAGTCTTGGTTGTAATTGTTTTACAACAGGTAAATTTGAAAATACGAGCAACACTGTAATATTCAATATTATTCAGTGAAGCTTTCACCACTATATTTTAAAAAAATGGATAGATAGATGGATATTTATTCAATAAAGTCTTCATACAAATATGCATTGGCTCAACATGGACATAGATAAAGCAGACATGCAAACAAAAGGTAACATTTACTTGATAACTAACCACAGCCCAAGAAAATTGTTTAAGGCTTATTTCCGTTGAGTCCTCTATCTTAGAGGTAACAGGAATTTTGTTCATAACAGTGTGTGGTGATTACAAATTTCCTAATAAGACTGGTTAAATGTAAGGTTAAATGATGGAGAATAGCACCCAACCATAGGAGTACCAAAGTTTAGGGTCCATTATGTCACTTCTTTAATGGCTTTCTTGCACTATCCTTGGTTAAGTGGATTTAGTATTTGCCATTGACTGTAGCTGTACAGTATATGTATACTTTATGACTTTCCATGAAGATTTGTTTGGTACAGGTAGAGGAAACAGTTAGCACCAGATATAACTTTTGGAATTGAACCAAAATTTCTGTAGATATATATTTCCATGATACTGAACATGAAAATGGAAGCAAGAATACACAGAACCTATTAGAACCTGACCTAATCTTACCTAGCCTTACCTAACCTCACTTAACTTCACTTAACTTCTTAACCTGTGCATTTTTGTTTTGATTTTCTTACTCTCATCCAAACAACGTCTATAGAAAAAATTAACAAATTCAATCCAATATACTGTAAATCTTAATAAACACACCCAATGAGTTCATCATTCATTTCTTGACGTTTCTGTAGCTATAGCAGATGATGTGAACCAAAACATGATCGCCAATGGCGCCATAATTACGGTAAATATTTTATTTCTTCGCCTACAAAGGACGTAGAGAAGTGAAATTACTGCTCTGCCCTGCCCACTAACAAGTAATTTATGATTTTGACAGCATTAGGATCCCGCTTCCTCTTTTAAGGAATAAATATTGAAATTGAAAAAAAAAATTATTGGCTGAAAGGAAAAAAATACAGTCCTGTACTGCAATGTTGTCGCTTCGATTTTATTACCCAGTACAGTATCTTCCAAACAACATTGAAAATTTTGTGCCATTCCATAAAGCTCTTCTGGTGCTAACTGTACCCTCCACCTTTACTGATTTTTTTTTTTTTTTTTTGCATAAACAAAACTTAATCAGCCCACCACATAGACTTGATCTTCACTGATAATATGTTTGTTTCATTGTATAGAAACCAAATATTGGAAGAGAGTATTGCATTAACTAGGAACTTTAGGAAAATTTATACAGAAGTTATTGTTTTTTTGCCTCTTGAAAATTCCATAGAGTGACAAGGATTTGCAATTTGTATTTTTTTCCTTAACATTCATTTGTCAACACCCTGACACCATGTTAACTGTTTACATCCAGAACACTCCGTTTCATCCATAGAACTTACCAGCTATTGATACATTATGTAATTTATCAGATATAAAATGAACCAAACTAACCTACCATTCTAAGTTAAAATAGGTAGATTAGGTTAGCATAGATAGGTAAGGTTAGGTTGGTTCAATAAATCATTATGTACAGGGTGGCAGTTGGAGAAGTTGTTACTCTATGGAGAAAATTGCCACAATAATATTACAAAATTTGCAAATACTGTATACAGGTGCTCCTCTACTTACGAACGAGTTACGTTCCTGAAGCTTGTTTGTAAGTTCAATTGTTTGTAAGTCCAACTTTACTCATGTAGATACCAAACATTTTGTAAAAAATGAAAAGGTTATGGATATTTAGTACAGCTATACCCTTTAATACAGCCTTAAAACCTGGCTCACTCTTCTTCTCTTAGGTATTGTTTGTTCTATCTGGAATTTTCTTCAAAATAATCTAGTCTCATCCACATTAAACACCTGTTCTGGCAGGTAACCCCCCTCAGTGATGTTGTTTGTATCTCTGAAAGTTTGTAAGTTGAACTTTCTTAAGTAGAGGAGCACCTGTATTCATCATTTCTTGAAATCATCAAATAAATATTACAAAATTTAGTAAGAAAGATATCATCTTGCATTATATCCTCTAAACAATAGGATTCTGAAGTTGATGGACTTTTAAGCACACGGAAAGGTAAGAAACAAAGCAGTCGGCAATCTAAACATTAAAATAGCGTCACTGAGAGGAAGCGCATCGATGTGTTCAGGATGGAAAAAATGCAAATATTATATGCAAAATACAAATCCTCATCACTTATGGGATTTTCATCTGGTAAGAAATAATTTTTCTTTTAAAGACAAATTTCTTTTAGTTATAGGTTAATGTGCAATAATCTCTCAGTTAAACATCTCACAAAAAAATTCTAAACATAACCTTTCAGTCTTTGGAGTAGTTTTGCTGAATTTAAGTTTGGTTTTCACATTTAATTTTCCTTTGTTCCTCCAGATTCATATTCTATTCATTATATGAATAATTACTCAAGAAGTATACTGAAGCAGGTGACACAGCTAAATCAAGGGTCTTTAAGTAAGGTTTGGCTGGTTTCTGTTACCTTTGAAACACCTGATACAGCCCAACAAAAAATTTATCTGCTGCTAGAAATAGTTTAGTGCTGTGAAAAGTGTATCTTGGGTAGGTACACTCTGTAATGGTTTGTATTTATGTAATTTTCACTAAAATTTTTGTTATAATGCTTAGAATGCAACGATAAAAAGACCTTTGAATTTACTCTTTTTTTTTTTTTTTTTACGGGGATTAGCCCACCCGGACACAGGTCACTGACCCACATCGAGGCCTGGGGGGCGAAAATGTAATAATAATAATAATAACAACATAATAATAAATAAGTGTCATAATTCATAATAAATAAAATTTATGATAAAACAAACAAAAATAAAATAATAAAATAATGATGATAATAATACAGTAACTGTAATAATAATAATAATTTTAATAATAAAGAACTATAAATACAAAAATGAAAAAAAAGATCAAAAGTGAGAAACGATATATGTATGTTGTGTTGTCAATGGTAAGAGAAACAATTGAGAACCTGCAATTGTGTGTAAATGAAGCAGAAAGTCAGATCAGCAACCTGGGACTGGTCACAATTTTCGTGATGCCATATGGCAGCAGGGTCTACCATTAGACAACACATTATGCTTCCAATATCTTCCCAGGCAGTAGTACTTCCCTGTTTGGTAGCTGCCTACTACCTACCACCATGTCTTTGTGCAGCCCGCGGAGTGATTCAGAAATTCTATTTTATGTGGCCAGTGGTTCAGGTAGATGCAGTCAGTTTATGTTGAGTAAAGCAATATTTATTAAAAGAATAATCTTCAAGCACAATTCATTACTGTTTCATCACCTAAGAGTAAGTAACTATGAAAATGTAACAGTGAAACGAGTATAAATAGTCAACAATACTGTATAACATTTTAACTTGTGTGAGTTTAAGGGTCAAATTCAGCAGGGTTTGTTTCATGGATTAGCTGCTATGTGGCAGTGGGTCACTTGGAAATTAACTAAGGTTAGTTAAGTCCATGTGGGGTCATGGGCAGTGGTCACACTGGTCAAAGGTAAAGTACTCTTCCCTGTTGACAGACTGTCTTTCTCCATAGTACCTCATCCTTCAGGCCTGGCTGTCTGTTCTATCTATTTATTCTTGTCTGATAAGGCCTCTCCATGGGCATATATATATATATATATATATATATATATATATATATATATATATATATATATATATATATATATATATATATATATATATATATATATATATATATATATATATATATATATATATATATATATATATATATATATATATATATATATATATATATATATATATATATATATATATACTATCCTCTTCGCCACTGATCGGCTTGTTGCTTGGGCGATCAGTCACGACTCTTTTCCTTTATATTCTTCACCAAAAGGTCGGCTCGCTAGCCGCCCGGGCGATCGGTCACGTCTCTGTCACGCACTGTTGGCAAATACTGGGCATGCACCGGCTCCTGAATGTACCTGAACCCGCTCCAGTGTTGGTCAAGTCTTCTCTTGAAAGAGCTCACACTCGGTGCCGTCACAACACTTTCTGGTAGATTGTTCCAAGAGTTTACAACCCTCACTCCGAAAAAGTTTGCCCTCACGGTTTTCCGGACTTGCGGCTTCTTCAATCTTGAGCTGTGACCCCTTGTGGGGCGAGCGTCCGCCAGCTCCAAGTAAGGACACTCAACTGAGTAGTGCCCCCTGAGATGCTTATAAACCTCAACTAGGTCCCCCCTTGCCCGTCTGTAGTATAAGCTAGGCAAGTTCAGGCGCTCCAATCTCGCAGGGTAGCTGAGATGCCGAAGTGCAGGCACCAGCTTGGTGGCCCTCCTTTGAACATTTTCAACCAACTGACAGTCCCTAGCATATCTCGGGGACCAGATGGGGTGACAGTACTCCAGATGGGGAAGCACTTCACTCCTGAAGATCGTCACGAGGGACGGACCGTCTAGATATCTGAACGACCTTCTTATAAGACCCAATAATTTATTTGCCTGATTTACCTTCTTCTCAACAAAAATGGTAGAAAAGTTCACTTACTTTGAGGTGTGTATGTAGAAGGCTCCTGGATGATGATGATGATGATGGGATTTAGAATGGGGGTGGAGGAGAAGGAAGAAGAGAAGGCATTGGGGTGGAAGAGAAGTCACCCCATGGCGCCATTTCACCCATAAAATTTTAGCTCTCTTGGTGTAATTCAAGATTATTTTCTTTAAATCAACACTGCACTGCATTATATATTGTCAATATGTAAAATATATTTCAAAATGACCAATAATTTGCTTGGAAACACAGAAAAAAAGCATTTAGTTGAAGAGAGTCTCAAGCAAGATGTTACCTCCAGTGAAAACAGAGAGACTAACTCCTGTTTGCTGTGTTAAGAGGCTGGATGCCGCGCATTAAACTAGTCACTTTACCTTCAATTATGTTCAATAATTGTTAAAATGACTAAAAAATTGAATATTAAACTTTTAAAATTATTGAATAGTATAAACTTCTTGATATTTACTAAAATAGTAAGGAATTTATGCCCTAGAACCGATTAATGTATTGGCGGACTGATACTAAAGCTGGTTGCCCGGTCAGTGCAAGCGAAAACATGTTGAGGTCGGTTCGTAAGAACTTCGTTAACCGAATTTTTTTTCGTTAACCAAATTGAAGATCCTTATGGAAGACAGTTCGTTAATCGAAATTACGTTAACCGAGGTGTTCGTTAAACGAGGGGTCACTGTATATATAAAACTTGCTACTGGTATATTTTTGCGACTTAAACATATGTAACTTTGTACAGTGTATTTAATATGCTATTGTATTGCATTTCAGATCTGACAACAAGAACCTAAGAAAGAATAGAATGGTGGTAAGATAGTGTGGTGGGCATGATCAAATGTGTGGTACAAGTGCCGGAATGGTTGTGTGGTGATCGGCATTCTGCCCCCATCTTGGGACCACCTTCCACCCATTGTGCTCACATAATTCCCCCTCACCAAGCACAGCCTTTCCAATTATTATCACACATGGCATAACCAATCTGACTTTATATACAAGCTCAACTTAGGTTGTGGTGTCGGAGGCTTTGTGACATCATGAGTGAAGGAGGCAATAAATGGCCATGTGGGAGATGCACTTACCTCAACTATGCCAGTGCTGTACGCTGTACTATGTGTACAGTTCCTCGCTCACCACACCTAATTGTGGAGGCTGGTGCAGAAATTTACCAGCTTGCACCCCCATCACCAAGACCACCAGAAGGTTCAACCCCTCAAGAAGGAGACAAATGGCTATGCCACCTGTGTACTTATCACAATTATCCACGAGCATTGAGATGTACTCAGTGCCGCACACCACGCCTTTCATTAGCTGACCAAATGGCCAACCTCTCATTGGCTAAGCCTGCAACTCCTTCACCAGTTAAAGCAACCCCCACCACAACTCCTACCTCCATTCCTGTTCTCATTACCACTGCCACTACAGCTACCACTACTACTTCTGCTGCCTTAGTCACTTCTGCAGCTAAAATTGTTACTCCTACACCCACTACAACCACAGTTCCAGCTACTAATCATAATGGTGGTCAAAGTCCTAATCGAGGTGTGGTAGCACAGAGTGGTGGTGGTGCTCAGGGAGCCGGGGCAGAACATCAAAGCCCAGGGGGAGGAACTCCACCTGGTGGAGCTGGGCGCTGTAGCCCACAGGGAGCAGGCATGACCCAACCTCAGACCCGCCATGAAACAGAACCCGCCATACCAAGTTACAAGTGGAGGTGCCGTGCATGTACTTATGAAAACTGGCCTCGGTCAACTAGATGTGTTATGTGTACCACTCCTAAAGGTCTTTGTTCCCCAGCAGCCCAATCACAGCCAGCCCGCCTTGCTACCCCTCCACCACCAGGCGATACTAAATACAACAACATAAGTGCAGATAAACCTAAAACTCCAGGTGAGCCAAGTGAAATACCAAACAAAGTTGAAATTATACGTGAACCAAGTGATACCCACCATACAGAGAACAATGCAAAAAACAGGGAAAACATAAATGAAATAAATAAAGCACGTAGTAGTGATCTTCCTCAAGAACAGCAGCTGATATCCCAAAGAAACTTAAATGAATCCAAGGAGAATCTCTCAAGTATCTCTTCCAGTGTTGGAGGCAACATTGCTTCTGGTGCAGTAAGCCACCGTGGTGGAGAGGGAGCTATGGCTCTCAACAACTACGAAACTGAACGATTGTTACGACAGCTTAGACGACGTTTACGGGAAGCAGATTGGGCTTGGTTAAATGCCTGTAATGGAGTTGTGGAAGGCAACTATGAACCAGTAGAAGCTTACCTGTCCGCTGGTTTGTCCTGATGCTCTTATTTGTTTATATATACCTGTACTGTATAAGTAGTGCATAGTTTGGGAAATAACACCTGCCTTTAAATATATGGTTAATTCATTTTTTTCATAGTTTTTTGTATTTATGTTAATTATTTTTTTTTTTTTTTTAATGATTATATTAATTTCCTGTTGTACTTTTAGGTGGTGATCCAATGAGGCAGCTCACTAGTGCAGATGTAAAGCTTTTGTCACGCTCCTCAGCTTTTGATGAAGGACATACTCTTGTGCATTTAGCCATCAGGTAAATTTTATTTAACTTTTGGTCCATGAATTCATTCTAATTGTTCATAAAATTGTCCTCTGGATTTTTCTGAAATGTTCAGGGATTAAATTCTGCTCCTGTACTGTGCTATCTAGAGAACTGTTTTGTAAGTTTTCTTAAATGTTTAGGATAAAATTAATTTTACCATGTGATGCACATCACCAATTAAACAGTCACCCTTATTTTTTAAAGGTTTTTCTGATATTTTCATAAAAAGAATTTTGGTACCTTTACAAATATTTTGCCCCATCATGTGAAAAATATCTCTCTCTCATCAGTATAAAAGAAGAGTTAGTGAAGTATGTGAACTTGTATAATATGCTAAAATTCAGACTACTGTATGCACTTGGCCTGTCTCATAATACAGTACAGTTCTATTTTTTTAAGGAAGAGAAAATATTTATAAGTGATCTTCAAAATAATTTAAAAATAAAAAAATAACATAGTATAAACACATTTCATGAAAAAAATCATCATAGGTTTGGCCGTGAAGATCTGCTAGCTACTATATTATCAAGAATGGATGGAGGTGGTACAGGAGTGAAACGTGTTCCACCTTACGTAGCACCTGACCTGGCAACTGATATTCGTCGTCACATGTCTGCCTCCATTCGACAAAGAAAAGGACCTTTTCCTTGTCATTTTCTCTCTGAGTCTGTAACGTTCTCCCTGCCAGCAGGTTAGTTTCATATATGATACAAGCAGTCCTCTTATAACAGGGCCTCATCCAGTGTATTTTCACTTAATGGACAGACATGAAAAAAAATTCATATAATAATTATGATAGCACACTGGACCCTCGCTTTATGCGCATTCTCTATATGCAAATTCGTGTTTATGTGGCTACCCTATTTCTACCCGCAATTCATTTTATGTGGAAAAGATTCCCTATTATGCATTCTGTAAAAGATATGGCGGCACACTACATTAGAGTATTTTAATGATTTTTCTACAACTTTTAGAGCATTAATGCTCCAGAAATGGTTGTGAAATGTGGCACTGTGTGTGTGTTTATTGCGTTGTATGTGACATCACGGGACGCGATTGGAGTGATGAGTCAGCCACTCCACACAATTTCACTTTCCACACAAACACCCATACTCTTCATAGGTCTTAGTTTATAGTTTTATTTTATATTATATTTATTTCTAACCCACATTAAACTATTGTAATACTTTTTCCACAACTTTTATTGCATTACTGTTGACTTTTAGTAGTTGTGGAACATATCCTAATTTTCCCCATAAGATTAAGTATTCACAATATACGGATTCTCATTATGGTGTGTTGTCACAGAACGCAACCATAGCATAAAGCAAGGGTCAGGTGTACTGTACTATTAAATTTAAAAATTATATAATTTTTTTTTTATCAAATTTAACAAAACCAATGAACATTACGCAACCATCTTTGTATACTGTACATTCTCTAAACCAATCAGCACTCGTCTGATCAGTGTGTGCCGCCCACCAAAACTCACATTGATTCTGTCTGTACACTCCTTTTTTGCAATCTCCTGCATGTGTTTGTAAAAAAAATTAGACCCATCATGTCTGGAAAACTGCCTGCAAGTGAAAGTGTTGGTAAAGCAGCCAAGATGACCAGGGAAGTCATTAGTACAGAAGTGAAAATGCAAATGATGTGAAGGGTTGAGGCAGACAAGCATCAGACAAACATGGCTTAAAACAATAGTCCAACAAAATGACTGTTGAGTGTCAATTAGATTTAGTGACATGTGTTATTTATTTTAACAACACCTTTACATTTATATTTACAACATTTTTGTTTTATATATAAAAAGCCAAAATATCATCTTCAGGGCCATTACTGTTACCCAAGAAAACCATTCTAATATTTATAAGGTAAAAAATAACACTCTGAAATGCAGCTCTAAAGGCACCATGTTATAATGATCACATGAACATATCCTGTCCAATACAGGAGGTCTGCCTGTACAGTAGCTAAAATGACTATCTGTGCAGGTGGGGGTCGATATGCTCCGAAATTTTACGTGTGACTAGTGACAGCCCTCATATACCAAAATTTATCGTCCATGGTCTCATATTGTTTCCCACAAAGTATGCGCAGATAGTTGTTTTAGCTACTGTACAGTACATGCACTTTTAGATGAGGATGAGGTGGTAGACTGAAAGAGCTCGTCTGTTCACCTGCATGTTGCTGCACATAACCTGCTTGCATTTTGTAGTTTTTACTTTTTCACAGTGTCACTTATATATCTCACTAATTTGAGATTTTTTTTTTTTTAAACGTGTGAATACCAACTTGTCACTTCCCTGTGATATATGATTTTTTTTTTTTGGGGGGACATTAAGCTACTGATAAATCAAGTTTTGGATTTCTTATACGTATGTGAAAGAAAAGGCAGAGCACCTGTAGATTTGCCCCCCTGCTTAGCTATATCTCCTCCAGATTATACACCCTAATGTTACCTTAGAGGGTTAGGTTAGGTTACTATTAGGATAGTTAGTCTTTGGGTGAAAAAAGTTGGGGGCTAATTGCAGGTGATCCAAAAAGACTTATTTAAATAATGTTGGAAGCAGTAATTACAATAAGATTTCTATAATTTGTCTCTGATAACCAAAGGGCTTTATGGCAAAATTGGGTTAAGGTGACCCGTTTATATATGCAAGGAAATTGGCATAGTACTAAATTGATGAGTCATAAATGAGAAAATGTTAACCACTAGGTAAGAACTGTTATTAGATTTATAGTGCTGCCTACTTTGTACTGGTGACACTGTACATGATTGTATATTATTAGAATCAGGGGGGGAGGAGTAGAATATTTATAGATAAACGATGTGCAACAGACAGAGGATAGAGGAAATATGTATTACAATATACTAGAGGAAACAGAGGTAAGGAGAGGAAGGGAGAGGTGAATCACAGGAAAAGAGCTATGGGATATAGGTGTCTATATGGTTGATATTATGTATAATAACCATTTACAACTTTGCATTACTATTTTTGTACAGAAATAGAAGATTTACCAGTAAGTGTTCAAGAACAGCTTTTTGAGGAGCTCCTAGATCGTGATGCTCAGAAACAACTGGAGGAGGATGCTCCTATTATTAACTGGTCTCTGGAGATCACTGATAGACTAGGATCAAGGTTGTATGCACTCTGGAACCGTACAGCAGGTAGGTGATTAGTTTAGGTATTTTACAGATACAGTGATCCCTCGGTTAACGAACGCCTCGGTTAACGAAATTTCGGTTAACGAATTACTTTCCATAAGAATCTTCAACTCGGTTAACGAACAAAAATTCGGTTAACGAAATTCTTACGAATTCCTCTCAACATGTTTTAGCTTGCTCACCAGCTGGAGTATTAGTCCGTCAATACAGTAATCAGTTCTAGGGCTTAAATTCGTTACCATTTGAGTAAATATCAAGAAGGTTGTACTATTCAATAATTTTAAAAGTTTTATTTTAAATTTTTTAGTCATTCTAACAATTATTTAACATAATTGAAGTACAGGGAACTAGTTTTTAGCATGCCAAACAGCCACTCAACACAAAGCTTAGGGTCAGTTTGTGTCTCTGTTCAGTGGAAGGAACATCTTGTTTGAGACTCTCTTGAACATAAACTATTTTTCTGTTTTTACAGTCAAATTATTGGTCATTTTGAAATATATTTTACATATTGATAATATATAGCACAGTGCAGTGTTGATTTAAAGAAAATATCCTTTATTTACAGCAATAAAACTTAAATTTTCAGTGTTGAAATTGAATCCAGCATGGCTCCAAAGAAATCGAGAAAAGTTATTTCAATCCAGGTAAAACAGGAAATAATAAAGAAACATGAACAGGGCATTAGAACAAATGTGCTTAGTAAAGACTATGGCATGTCGGCATCAACTGTGACGACAATTCTTGCACAGAAAGACAAGTTCAAGGAAGTGAAAGTGAGAGACAAATCTACCAGACTGTTTAAAGGTAGATCATTGATAGCAGAAACAGAGAGGTTACTTCTCATTTGGATTAGGGAAAAGCAAATGAAAGGTGATTCAGTTTCTACTGAATTTATTTGTGAAAGAGCCAGGGAAATTTACGAACATTTAAAGGAAGTTCAACCTGGTTCTTCTGGCACAGAGTTCGAAGATTTTCTGGCCAGCAAGGGCTGGTTTGAAAAATTTAAGAAAAGAAGTTACATTTTCAGTGTTGTTAGGCATGGTGACGCTGCCAGTGCAGATAAAGAAGGAGCAGCAAAATTTGTAGTGGACTTTAAAGAACTGGCGGAGGAAGAAAATTATCTTCCACAGCAAGTGTTCAATGTGGACGAAACTGGGCTGTTCTGGAAGAAAATGCCGAAAAGGACATTTATCACCAGAGATGAAGCCTCTTTACCTGGGCATAAACCCATGAAAGACCGTCTCACTCTATTGCTTGGTGCCAATGCTTCAGGGGATTTCCGACTGAAGCCTATGCTTGTCTACCACTCTGAGAACCCCAGGGTGTTCAAGCAGCAAAAAGTGGTAAGAGGACAGCTTGGAGTTTATTGGAAGTTCAACCGTAAGGCATGGGTAACAAGACAACTCTTTAATGAAGGGGCTGTCGAGGTGTTTTGCCCTTCTGTGAAGAGCTACCTAACCACCAATAAACCTCCTTTAAAGGCTCTTCTCCTTATGGATAATGCCCCTGGTCATGACCCTGAACTTGCCAGCACTTTGGAGGCTCAATTTGACTTTGTCAAAGTGTTGTTTTTGCCTCCCAACACTACATCAATCATGCAACCAATGGACCAGAATGTGATCAGCAACTTCAAGAAGCTGTACATGAAGAAAATGTTCAGGAGGTGTTATCAGGCAACTTCCACTGATCCTGAACGAACACTGGCACAGTTCTGGAAGACACAATTTAACATCCTGGAGGCTGTAAAATTTATTGTGTCCTCATGGCGAGAAGTCTCCATTTGATCCCTCAATTCTGCATGGAAAACTTTGTGGCCATCAGCAGTCCATGATTTTCAGGGGTTTGAGGAAGAAGCAGAGTTGGACAAGGAAATTGTGTACATTGGTCAGTCATTGGGCCTCGAAGTGGAGGAGGATGATGTGGAAGAGCTTGTGATGTCTCATGAGCAGGAACTTACTCCTGAAGACTTGCAGCAACTGGATGAGATGTTGGAGGCTGACAGTGGTGAGGAGGAAAGGGAAAGTGATGACCATATGTCTACTTCAGATTTGAAAGATGTTGTTCACTACTGGGAGAAGTTCAGGAAACTGGCTTCAAGGCACCCAGATGTGGAAACAACAGAACCTATTTTGTGTACCCGGTAATGTTAGGGCAGAGTGGTCTCCTTCTTCAAAAATCAGTTAATGATGAGGAGGAGAAATGCCCCACAAAGAAAAGTCGACAGTTTCTTCTCTAAGAGGCAGCGGGAGAAAGATGCTACCCCTCAGCCTTCCACTCAAGAAGGAGAGAGGATGTTCCTGCTGGAGAATCTGTCAGTCCAGAGGTTCCTGACATTTTCATGGAAGGTGACTCGCCTTCCAAGAAGCAGTAAAATGCTTCTCCTCCACCCCCACTTCCTTCTCTTCTCCCTTCTCCACCTCAAATTCACATCAGCATCATCATCCAGGAGCCTTCTACATGCACACCTCAAAGTAAGTGTACTTTATTGCATTTTTTTTTTTTTTTTTTTACTTTTTGTAATTTTCGGTGAGCTGGAACCAATTACCCAAAAACCCATTGAAACAATGGTTTCAGTTAACGAAATTTTCGGTTAACGAACGACCTTCTGGAACGAATTGTGTTCGTTAACCGAGGGACCACTGTACTTGATGCTTATACAGTACTGTAATAGGAAAAACCTATTTTTTATAGTGTAACTCATAACACTTTGTATCAAGAACCTCTTTATTTTATTTTTGTTATACAGTAGTACATCAGACTAATTGGGACAGTCTCTAGTCTGTAAAAAGTGAAATTGCAAAAAACACGAATCTTTGGGGAAGAGAGGAGAGGATCTGGTGTCTGGGAGGAAGGTGACAAGCGATATGTTTAGTCCATAGAGACTGAAATACAACTGACACAGTACACTCATAAATCATAACAGTCGCGGCCTACCTATGGCTGCCGAGCCGCCGTCGAACTTCTCGTACGGCAGCAGAGACAGAAAATAATATTGTCGGGTAATACACATCATGGAAATTCCCACGGGACATAACCCTGCATATCTGGTCTATTTCAAGAAATTCGGATCGAATTCTGATTGTCAACAACTGTTTTCACTGATAGGACACTTTTGTACTGTAAAGTGTTACAGCATATGTAAATACTGTACAGTACTGGTAACCACAGAATTTGCAGAAAAGTCATTTCAATGTGCCCATGTGCCATATGAATAAAGAAAAAAAACAGGAGATGAGTGTATTTGGGAGCAATTTTACCATAATTCCCATATTACAGTACAGTAATTAGGTTCATTTGGTGTGAAGTTGATATATCATTATCTTAAAATTATCAACTTTACTGAAAAAAGAATCTCACTCTACCCCTGATGAGTCATTACATCATATTAAATTCCTTGTTTACAAAGCACAAACAACTGATCGTTCTCACTCCTTCACCATGTTAATATCACTCTTCGTCTCTTGCTTACCACAGCATCTGTCTTCAGCACTTAGTAAATAATATGGAAGTGTTTTTATCAGCACTTATTAAAAAATATTGTAGTGTATTACTGTATGCATCTACATATTCCGATTTATTCATTAATCAGTTGTCTAAGTGCATAAGTAGCCAAATTGAGCCATAATGTATTACTCAGAGATAATAGATAATGTTGTTTGGAATGTCTCTTTATAGCAAATACTATACTGTATGTTATAATGACCCTATTGTTAGCCAAGTTGCTGGCAGCTCTCTCTCCAGGAATGCATCCTGAGTAAAAATCTTTCAATATAGCTAAACCTTTCAATTAGCTAATCATATGAGAATATAATCTTGAATCAATAAATAAATCTGGTGAATGGATCAATACCCTGCCCCCCCCCCCCTCCACACCCAGCCTGTTTACAAAGGTAGTGTCTTAGCACTCGTCAGGCCTATAGTACAGTATTCAGTGAGCAAGTGTTGCTCTTTTCATAAGCCTCTTTTTTTTCTTTTTTTCTTTTTTTTAGCAGTACTGTATCTTAAAATGGGTATTCTACATAATTTTACCTGTACGGCCAGTGACAATTATACGACGGGTTTAGAGACCTTAAAAAGCCATCATTAAGTTCATATACTGCAATTGTACAGTAGTAAGTTGCAATCGCCCAGCTGTCACTACAAGTAATTTTGGGAAGACATACATAATTGTTTTGTTTTGTTTTTTATTTTTATATAAACACAATCTTTCATACAGAATTTACAAGAAAAACTAAAAGGAGTGATTGTAATAAGGTAAAAAATTTGCCAGTAAAGAGAATAAAAACTTTTTACATCCCCGTGAGTTAGTATGGATTGTGGGAGCGGGAAGGGGTGAGGCATTGGTTTCTCAGCCTCCTGCCAAGCTGTGATCTGCATTTTTGTTATTTTTCAACTTGCAATTTCAGGTAGATATATATGGGGGGGGGGGGGCTCTGTTACATGCACACACAATCGTTCATACAGAATATGCAAAAAAAATTAAATAATTATCTTAAGGTCACAAACATAAAGGGACTGAAAATTTCTTACATCCCTGGGAATCATGGGAGGGGGGTGCAGAGTTGGTATCTCAGCCTGTGATCAAGCTGTGAGTTGCGCTACTGTTATTTTTCAACTACCACTATGTTCAGGTAGATACTGTATATGTTATTTTCTTCAATTTTTTTTTTTTACTCTGTTACATGCACACACAATTGTTCATGCAGAATGTGCAAATATATATTTTATTAAATTACCATAAGCTCAAAACATTAAAGGGATTAAAAATTCCTTACGTGTGGGAGCGAGCACAAAGAGTGAGGGAGCTGCGTTCCCTCACAGTTCCACTGTCTTATTTGTAGTGACAAGATTGCCAAATGGCAATGCAGTATTTTTTCTTTTCGTTTATTTATTATTATTATTATTTATATATATCCATCACAAATACTGATACAGTATATATTATTTTATGTATAGTACAAGAATAGCTTCTTCCATGTGAAAACCATCCTCTGGGCGCTGCGTGGAATACATGTGTTCCGTCATTTCAATATTGCGCCATCATACAGCATACCCAGACATTTTGCAAATTTTTAATTCCCGGACCTCAATTATTCGCGGATGACACCCTGGATGTACCCAAGAATGTCTAAGGATAGTTTTAAAGTTGCTGGCATTTTCGCAACCGGGACAGGGAGCCATTCGTTCTAGAGACAGTAATTTCTTTTACCTGTAGTGTGTGTGTGTAAACACACACACACAAAACAAATACAAATAAATAATAATGGGAAAATCCTCTCGCAAATAATCAGAAACAAGACAACAAAATGTATTAAAAATGTGAGAGTCTACCCTCTTTGCACATAAGTAAAAATATATCCCCCCTGGTCAGCAAGTGTTATTCGCAACCATTTTGAGAACCTAACCCCCGTAAATTTTAAGGGCATGCTGTATCTCGGAATATTTCAAGTTATTGCACATCTCTTTTTCATAGCAGTGACAATGCAGGAAAAGCATTTGGGGAGCCACCATCATAGTGGTAAATGGTGTTAATTTTTTTACATCGTAAAATTGATCGAGCATTTAAAGATCCATCGTATAGCAGTCACTGTCTGTATCTTAAAATACATACAGTGCAGTACTCTACATAATTTTACCTATTCCTTAAAACCCTCAAGAATCCCCATTAAAGACAATACGTACTCTACATAAAAAGTTCACGCAAATGAGTGTAGGTAGCAAGGTGCGGTGCACTTATATGATACTGTACATATGATGGCAGGCCTCAGACTGAGACATAAGTGGCATGCCGCACAACAGACATTCAATCAACTGCACCTATGAACACACAAACTGCCTAGATTGATGCTGGATTTTCCGGACTTTTTTTTTTTTTTTCTGGTGAATAGATGGACTGTCCAGAGCACCTCAGAGTTAAAAAAAAGCAAATTCCAGTGTATAGAGGTTCTACTGAGCAGTACTTCTGTAATGTGTGCTATGGATATTTGGGAGGTCTTATTTATGCAAAAATATGAATGTATATAAGAGAAGGTGATTTCTGTCCATACAGTACTTTCAAAACAAATACAAGGTAGAGGTAAATCTTAATGCTCTCATGTGAATTTGTTCCCCCAAAAATAATAATGATAATAGCAAAAGCTTTGAAGTATTACCCATGTAAATTCTGCTTTTTCCTAATTATATATCTTTTCAGGTGACTGCCTCCTTGACTCCATACTTCAATCCACCTGGGGTGTATTTGACCGGGAAAATGTTCTCAGACGAGCATTATCAGACAGTCTGTCGGAAGCTTCTCATCTGTAAGTACTGTATAAGGGTAATGCCACTGCCCACCTCTTTTCTTTAACATAGAGCTAAAGATGTAATTTTTTTTATAAAATCCATAATTATTAGGTTCATATCTTATGTGATTATTATAACGATGCCATTGACAATGAGACCTAAAGTTTCTACAATAATCCTCGAAAGTCCGGACATTTTCCGTTCAAGAAACGTTTGTCCAAACTCTTAAATATTTGGCGTTTGAAATTGCCGCCAGCCAGCAATCCCTTGGCCTCTTTCCTCCTCTCAGATCTGAGAGTGAGCAGTTTATTCCCCCACTCTTAGAATGGACATACCCAGAATGCTGCACACATTCAGACACAAAAAAATGGTTAGATTTGGGTAAATTAATTCAAACAATGGTGATGGTAATCATACCAGCAAGGTACCAGAAGATGCTCACACACACACACACTTGGCCACGTCCATTATTTTGAAGTAAAATTACAAATTTTTATTTTTCTAATATTTAATATTTTATATTATTAATGATGAAACACACACCATATGAGGCTAATCATGTGAGAATATAATAAATAAATAAAAACAAACTGGTGAACAAGGCAACAGCCCCCCTCCCATCACCAGCACATTTACACATGAAGTGTTATCTCTTCTTGATACTGGAGCCAATAAAATTAGCTTTAATTAAGTTAGAAACACCACTTTTTCCCAAAATAATCCTGAATGATTTATCTAAAAGTTTGGTTAAGTAAATGTAGTTTAAAAAACAAAATACTGTATCTATATGATACGGATGTGTAAGGGGGTGGGGGTTGAAACTGCCACTTCAACCCTCCTACCCACCACTGTACTCCCTCCCTCCATCACACACCCCACCACACCCTGCCTCTACCACTCTCTCTACCTCCTATACCCTCCCTAATTGTCTAAGTAAATAAGAACAAGAGATAAGAGAAATCATATAAAGAAAAAAAAAAAAGGAAGCAAGAAATAGAGTAAGAAAAGGCAAAAAAGAGAAAATAGAGATAAGAACAAAACATTATTTGTGAGAAAAAAGTAAATTTATCCTCATTCTCTTATGTTAGTGACCTCACTTGATACAATATCAGGTCACCCATTGTATATAAACTCTTCTCTCACTTGTGGTGAAGGTGGGGTTAGGGATTAGTGGTCTCATGTTACTGACCTGATGCATTGCCAGGTCACCCATTGTTGGAGTGAAGAATTAGTGGGTCTCATGACCTGAAGAAAGTAATATACAGCTCATTAAAAAAATAATAATTATAAAATTAATTTCCTTATTTATTAATAAAATTTATACTGTAGTCTTTAATGGGGATACTGTACTTTGGTATAATCAAATTTGATATGGGCCTAACGAGAATTAATAGGTAGGAGATGCACTTGATGTGTAAACCTGATGGAGGGGGGTTCTGGCCTTGCCTCGTACGCCAGTTTATTTTTATTTATTCATTATTATATTCTCGTATGATCAGCCTCTTATGGTGTATTTTTTATCATAAATAATATAACATGCAGTATTAAATAATAGAACAAAAATTATATATAATTTGTAATTTGACTTTAAAATAAAGGGTCATAGGAAGGCTTAAGGCCCGTCCACACGATCGAGCAGTGCCCGGCGGGCTCGCGCTAAATGCTTGTTATCGGGCAAAATTGGCGGACAAACCAGTGGAGTGCCCGCGCCCGTCGTTGAGCGAAATCATGGTCCGCCTGCCTGCTGGTTTGCTGCCGGATATGGAGCGACGACTCTGCCAGACAAACAAAGTTGACCCTGGGACCCTGGCTGTCAGTTTCTCAGTCTCGCCACAACAGTCACCACTGTACCATGTCTAGCCCTCCGTACACCAAAGAACAAATTAACTTATTTATGAAGTTCTTTATCTGGGGAAACTAGGCAGGCTTTCCTCATCAACGATGATTATATAAGAGTAATCTATTGATTAAGGGTGTTGGATAATTATAACTATCGTTATGTCCTTAGTGGCAAACACACAATGATAATTGTGTGCTGTTAAACCTGGTACTGTGGTAATTTTTTTTTTTTTTACGTATATGCATGTAGGTATATAATTTTTGATTGACATGTCTTATTTTGTGGAGAGGGTTTTAAAATCTTTAATTGCAGACTACATACGTTGGGGTGTATGTAATTATTATGTGAAATAAAGTTTGTCTTTATACAAGTTGTGTCAATCATCAATATCTTATTTGCAAACAACCTAGTGTCCCAAACAGGTCCATCATGTATCACATGTGTATGGCAGGGTTACCCCCTTCACAAATACTAATATGTTTTAATTTCATTTTCATTATTAATAATCTATAAAACCGGAAAACCGACATTCCTATAATATTGTCATTAATATTCAACATTACACAAGCCTGCAATACAAGACACGTGTTATTTTTGCAACCTCACGTGACTGTCAAAAACAGCTGATCACTACGCCACCGCTGACCTCGGGGGTCGGGGTCCTCAAGTCGGTGAGGTATGAACAGAGATACTGACAGAACGTATGCTAGCACTATGTAAAACCTGAGTTAAGTACTGCAAATGTGATACGTATATGTTCCCCGCTCGGTCCAGATGTCCAGTGAATAACCAAATAAGCTTATGCAATGTATGTTATTGGCGTGACAATAAACGGGAGATTGTTTATGTATTATGTAATGAGGACATTCGTGTGTGTTCTTCGTTCCTGCCGCTCTCCTCACTCTAGTCCCATAGCTTCCTGTCTGTGCATATCATAATTCTAACATTATTCAATGAATTTTTATGTACTACAAATCTCACCTGCAAGTAATCTTCCTTGAGTACTTCATACATGGCTTGACAAGTTGCAGGTATTATGCGAGACAAACTTTGTTTTGATATCCTCGTTCTATACTGAAGTGACGTGTAGGAGCACCCAGTTGAAAGATATATGAGCGTTGCCTCTAGACGAGCCTCTTCAGATATACTCTCCCTCATATTGGTATCCTGTTTTTTTTATATGGTTCCACTTTCGCTAGAAGTTTGTAAAAGGTGTTGGGGTCCATTCTCATGCAATTGGTGAAGTCTTGCTCATGTCCATCTTGCAGTTCACGTAAAATCGTGGCATGACTTCCCAATACTTTTCTTCGACCTAACTACTCTTTGCACCATTCCCTTTTCTGCATTTTGGTTCTTCTTTTTGCACATTAGCAGCAATTATTATAGTACACAATGCTATGCTCTTTGCTTTAACTGTCCGGTGATTATTCCTGCGAGACACACTGGTTATCGTACCGCACCCGCCACTGCCGACCACCTACTAGCTACCGGCGCCCAACTGTGACTGCCGTCAACCACCCCCGTGTGTACAACAACACAGGCTTTGCCCGGTAAACGGGCAAAGCCTGCCGGGCACTGCTCGATCGTGTGCACAGGGCTTAATGAGTGGCTGCTTAGTGCACAGTGCCCCCAAATTAAATAAATTAAAAAAAATCCAAACTTTTGAGGGTTTATGTAATTCTAACTTCCTCCATGGGTTAATTTTTTTTCTTATTTTTCTGTGTATTCTTGTCTAATCTTTTGATACTTCCCTCTGGCTTGAAAAGTAAAATGAGAAGTTATATACTGTATACTGTATTTTGTAATGCCTTTTACAGGTTTTACCCACGTTGGAAAGAATATGAACGTTGGCAGGCCCGCCTGTTAGACTACTATGTTCCTGAAGGTCAAGTTCTAGAGGAGTGGGCAGAATTAATCTGCTTGGCTTCACAACCTGGGGCTGCACTAGAGCAGCTACATATTTTTGTTTTAGCTCACATTCTTCGTAGACCAATCATTGTATATGGTGTCAAATGTGTCAAGAGTTTTCGAGGGGAAGATTTAGGCTTTGCTAGATTTGAAGGTAAGCTCATACGAGCATTATAGTGATATAATTTTGGAACTGTGCTATTGATATTCTTGTAAACATTAAAATGGCCATAAAATAATGATGGTGATAATGAATGTAATAATTTTAAGATATACAGATATACAATGCAAGTTTTTTTCCAGGTGTATATCTACCCCTTCTTTGGGAACCATCATTTTGTTGGAAGTCACCTATTGCTCTTGGCTACACCCGAGGTCACTTCTCAGCTCTTGTACCCATGGAACCTGACTCCCCAGATAATCTGGGTGCGGGTAAGTCTACTACAATCAAGAGAGGCTATAACACTGCTTTACACTGTATAGAATTTGCATTCAGTAATGACTGCTTTATTTTATATTTGTATTCAGTAATACAGTTCATGTATTTAAGCTAGAATAGTCTGCATAGAACCTCATCTTGTGTTTATCTGTTTTGTTGCTCTACTCTACTTCTTGGTACCTCATGTGGAGTGTGTATCAGCTCTGACACATTCCCTCCATACAACATAACCTCTACATTTTCAAAGATATATATCCATTTAGAAAGTACTCTAATAATCACACTCAATTCTTATTCTTTCATTCCACTTTCAGTCGCCCTTGATATTTTTTTCCAAAACAGTTATGTTCAGTTTTCACTACTTGTATATTGTCATGAGGAATTTTGTAGCACTCTCAGCCTCATGAGCCAGAAATAGTGAAATTATTTTTATTCCCAGTGGCAGAATAAATAAAGACACATTTTATAATTTACATCCAGTCCTCGCTTTATATATATATATATATATATATATATATATATATATATATATATATATATATATATATATATATATATATATATATATATATATATATATATATATAATTTTTTTTTTTTACAATTCCATATTCTGGGGTTTTCATACGCAAAATTGCGTATGCAATGCAACTCTCTCTTTCTCTCTTACACGTAGTCTGTCTCCTTTTCTCTCCTCAGTTAAAATAAGAATTTAATGCACTGTATTTTGCAACATTAACCTGTATATCCCTTTCTGTATTTCAAATTTATGTTATATTTATCCTGTTTAATGTGCAATAGCTTCATAGTCACATCCACTTTTTCATTGGTATTGCCAAAAACATCATCGTTATCAACCAGAGATACTGAATGTCAATTATGTCTATGAATTATCCATCTCCTTCAGGTGCAATTTTAGATGCTGGAGAGTCACAAGTTGTTTTTCTCCCATTGATGACTCATGATGCCAAACTTCTGCCAGTGCACTTTCTCACACAAGCTGAAGTAAGTTTTATTATTTAATTAAGGCTTCTGTAGAGTAGAGCATGTGAGTATGTTTTAGAAGTGCTGTACAGTACTACCTGTAACAGCAGATTGAGTGACCCTAGGTTAAAGCTATAATTGACCTATGATGTAGTATATGTACAGTATTATGTTGCCACTTTATTGACCTATGATGTATATATATTATGTTGCCACTTTATTGACCTATGATGTATATGTATTATGTTGCCACTTTGATGTGACATACATTTTGTGAAAATGGTCATAGCAACAAGTACATTAACAAATTATCTAGAAGTATGAGATAGGGATGATGACGGTAGTAATAAAAAGCTAAAGAAAATATATGGCAAAGAAATTTTGGAGTCAAAATGTCATAATTTTTGGGTTGGTATCAAGCTCTACTATACAGTATAGGAAGAGCTGTTTTCAGTAAGGGTAAACCTTTCTCAGTCTTATGATTTTTTTTCTATAAAAGTACATGTATAGTTACAAGAGTGAATAGAATGAAAACTTTGAAAATCAGTGGGACATACACTAATATAAAGGACGTGTTTGACAAATGAAAAGGTAAATTCCATATGTAGAATGGTCTTTTGGAAAATGCTTTGTCATAAAAGTTATGAGTTTTTGTTGTTTTTTGTTTTAACTTTGTAATTGGTCTTCAGGTTGGTTGTGAGGAAACATTGCTCAGACAATGGCTGGAGGTGTGTGTTAGTGAGGGAGCAGTATTAGTGGCCCAGCAGCACCTCACTAAAAAGCCATTAGCAGTAGCTCAGATGACAGAAGAGTGGCTCAACCATTACAGAAGGCTTGCGTAAGTCTGTCTCAGGCAACTTCTACAGTAAGTTCCACTGAAAAATATGTTTTTGGTGCTTGTTTTCCACAATTTTGACAGTAATAAATTCATTGACACTTGAAATTTTATTTTATTTCTATAATTACAAAGTAAAATGCTAAATAATTCTTTAAACAATAAAAATTGTAGATGAGCACCAGGAATGTGTTTAAGTGGGATGTTATTTGTGCACTTGTACGTTTAAAGTAAAAATCCTTTTGAAACACATTAGTAAGTACCAGGAGTTATAGATTTCTTTGTGAACTCACATGAACTCTTAATAATTCATAATACAGTATAAGTACTTCACAGAAAGTAGGGTAATTTTAAGTGAAAACAAATTTATGATAAGTCTTTGCAAACTCACAGGAGTTCATAATAATCGAAGCAGACAAAATGTTACAAATATAAAAAATACTGAACAAATAATTGCTTCCTTATTTTTAATCAACAAATCATTCAGTCAGTGCTTTATGCTACTTTGAATATATTGGTGCATGTAAGAGCAGTAAGGTTTAAATTTATCATAAACACTTTCTTCTTAAAGTCAGTTCAGTTTGCACGAGTTATATCTTCAATTTCATTCATTAAAATCTAATAGTAACCGCTTCCATAACTCACATAATGTATACCAAATCCAACAGATCAGATATTATAGATTGCCCTTGTTCTTACTAGGGGTTGTGTTCCTAGAAAAGGCAGGTGTAAGTGAAATATGTATATAATATTGTATATACTTGTGTATAAGCCTATCTCATGTATATAATCCGACCCCTGATTTTTTCATATACCCCGTGTACAACCCAACCCTATCTTTGAGAAATACTAGGTTTATTCCTAGACATATTTTGTAACAAGACACCAGATTCTCACCAACGCGTCTTGACCTTGATCACCCCCACAACAGCTGACGCTATGAACAGATTTACCAATTCTGAAACTGAATTCCCGCCAGAGTTATCAACTCTTATTTGTAAATTTTGTTAGATTCACCCCTAAAAGTAGCTTTAACTGTACACTGTAACATCAAAACATTAATTATAGGCATATAAACAGTAATAACAAAATTATACTAGTTGGTGTACACACTGTGTCACAGTCTCGGGAACACTGGCCTCCAGGCTTCGGTGCTCACCATAGCAACACAGACCAGCTGGGATGCTGCCTCTGCCTACCCCTAGCAACGGTGCTCCCACACCACTCCCCTTTAGCATCCTAACTCTCACACTCAAAGAAATGTTTATTCCCTTTATGTTTTTGATTTTATGATGACTTTGTGTATGTACATTCTGTATGTAGGATTGTGTGTTCATGAAACTAAATAAAAAAAGTTACATATATCTACCTGAATTTACAAGTTTGAAATTAACCATAAAATAGCTCACAGCCTGGCCTTGTAGCATGAGGGCTAGGGGAATGTGGCTACAGCGACGAGCCTAACTTTGCAACGATGCCATCAGCAATATTAACAGATGCAAACAAAAATTACCTGTAAATCTTCATTTGTATCAGGTATTTGTAGATTTAAAGTGGTATATGTAGTGATTGAGGTTCTGCTCTTTGTGTAGCACCATAAAAAAATAAACTAGGGGTACGATAAGCAACCCCAGGATAAAGGAGCTTTCAGTGGTCCCTCGGTTAACGAACACAATTCGTTCCAGAAGGTCGTTCGTTAACCTAATCCATTGTTTCAATGGGATATTGGGTAATTGGTTCCAGCTCACCGAAAAGTACATACAAAGTAAAAAAAAAAATGCAGTAAAGTACACTTACTTTGAGGTGTGTATCTAGAAGGCTTCTGGTTGATGATGATGGGAATTAGAAGTGGGGGTGGAGGAGAAGGGAGAAGAGAAGGAAGTGGGGATGGAGGAGAAATCACCTTTCAGGGAAACATACTTGATGCAGTCATTTCACCAATAAAATTTTAAGTTCACTAGGTGTAATTCAAGATTATTTTCTTTAAATCAACACTGCACTGCGCTATATATTATCAATATGATAACTAAAGTTCAGAATGACCGATAATTTCAATGAAAAATGCAAAAATATTCAAGACACCAACACAATAGATGCTCTCTCCCTGGTTTCAAAACTCAACTGACGCCTTGTGACCGACTCACGCATCTGATGAGCGCACAACAAACTAGTTCCCTGTACTGCATATATTATCAATATGTTAAAATTACGAATAATTTTAATATAAAACATGCAAAACTATTATAAAGCACAACTTTATTGATATTTGCTCCATTGGAAACGAATGTAAACATAGAACAGATTACTGAATTGTCTGAGTACCCCCTCAGCTGATCAGCTAATGCTCACAACAAAACGTGATTTTCGTAAGGATTTCGTTAATCAAATTTTTGTTCGTTAACCGAATTGAGGATCCTTATGGAAGGTAATTCGTTAACCGAACCGTTCGTTAACCGAGGGACCACTGTACTGGTAAGGTTAACCGACCACGAGCATGTACCGGGTAGCTATCATTCACCATAAATAACCACAAAACTGCATGAATTTTAACCCCTCAAAAATATTGTGTGTGCTTTACTGTATATACTGTGTATGTCGGTGTATAAGACGGAATTTAAACCTTTAAAAAAAATGGCACAAAATTAGGGGTCGTCTTAAACGCCGGGTTTAAAATCCGAACCTCTACATCCTGTTGTTTAGTGTGTATATTAAAATAATAAAAATGTATTATAAACCTGTCTAACATACCGTAAAATAACAACATAATAAATGCAGGTATCATCACGCACCGCCCGCCATTTGCAACTGCCGCCGACGTAAACAAACAGCCATCTTTGACCAATTGTCTCGCGAAGCAAGTTTATAAATTAAAGAAAATACTTGCAGTGTATTTAATGCCTACATTTCCAATATATTACAGTACAGTATATTATAAATAAATAAATAAACAAATAAATCAGTAAATCCATTTCAAGGAAATGGTAAAATTTTACTCGACACCGACATCAGTTCCAGTAAAATAAGCGATGCCAAAGTGACGTCACTAGTGTTTACACTACACCAGCTGTTAACGTTTGATGCAGATTATGGTAGGTAGTTGACAATATTTTGCCATTACTTGAAGTGAATTGGCCTTATTTTAAATAACTAAGGCTGTGTTGCTTAACAGTGTGTTTAACATCATCACTCCACTGGTCAGTGGGTTGGTTGATAAAGGACTACTGGGGCAGTAAGCTCCCAGTGGTAAGTGTCAGATTTGTGGTAGTCTTATACAGCGAGTATAGCTCCAAACCTACGTTTTAAATGGACATTTTGGGGGTCGTCTTAAAAACCCTTGGCCTTGCACGCCGACCTTTACTGCAGTTCAACTCGACTTTTTTTTTTTTATTAAAAAAAAATTATCATCAAAAGTCAAATTTTACTCAAGTATATACAGGTACAGTCAGTGAATTATGCAAACATCATACCTAGTTAGGTTACTACCTGTTTTACCAATAAGAATACAAGAAATATTTCTTTTTTATTATTAAATTTCTCCCAAATTTATATCTTTTTCTTATTTTATTGTTCATTATTGTACACTGTTTTACAGGTAAACCTCAAGATATGATGGAGTTAGGTTTCTGAAAAACCCATCGCTAGGTGAATTAATTAACATGGATGGGGAGCTTTATAACATGGGGTCAATGGGATACGTTCCCAAACACACATGAATCACCAACAAAACAATTCCTACAATAGTACTATCCGTACAAAACAATTAAACAACACTTACCACATCATGAAGAATAAGTCTGGTCATCATCACATGTCCCCTTTGAGGCTAAGGGGACTCTTGTAGGTGGAGTGGGGGATGTTACTCTGACTCCCACACAGCCTCTGGGGAGTCTCATGCTGCTTAACAATGTCAAGCTTCACCTCAGAGACACAGTTGTCTTGGCCTTCCCAAAGCTTTTCAAAGTTACACTGCTCACTTCAGTCACAAAAACAGCATAAGCACTTTTCACAAAAACAATGAGAACAGCCGACACTGCTCACATTTTCAAAACAACAGAGTCGACGCACCTTACAGTCACAAAAACACAGAAAATGTCACTTCAGTCACCATAACACAGTTCAGTTTAAATGTTAATGCTGTTCTCTCACTATATAAGAAAAAAACGATGATAAGTATAATTTACGATGCTGGCCGATAATCATGGAGCCGTGCGATAGCGGGTATACCATCGACAAAGAACCAAACACAGCTGTAGTGCGTGAGTGGGCCCTGTGGCAGCATGTGGATAGGCTTACAAGTGAAGGTAGAGATGCATCATGCATAGGGTTAAATATTGTTTCCTTATAAATGTCACCGACTTAACAAGAAAAATATAATTTGCATTGTTGGAATCCTTCCAAGACAGTGATTAATTTGAGTATGCAGACACTCCCCAGTTGATGGAAAGATTCCATTCCTGGACCCTATCTGTAAACTGAAAATGACCCTTCCATAAGGTTAACATATAGTTTACCCTGAACTGAATCACAAATGGCGTCTCGCAGGGGGGTGCGCTCAGCTGCCTCATGCATAATCCTCTGCAAATAGTGTTGTTACGCTGTACTAGTTACCTTCTCTAATTACAGAAACTCTTGTGCAACCCCAAAAAATTTATGATGGGACTTATGCGAGGCATTCTGTATCCTTGAATCTCTGTAAACCAAGTGTTCTGTAACCCGGGGAGTGTGTCTACGGTATTCAGGCCATAGTTTGCACTAGATAAAAAAAAAATTCCAACCAATGGATATTGATGGATATCTTTAAAGCGAGTTGTTTTGATCATATACAGTATAGAGAGATGGTCTTAATTTATAACCATGGTTAAAGCGGAGTATTGCATCACAGGATGTTGTATCTCGAGGTATACCTGTATTAGTTTTCATAAAAAATCATTAATGTAATCTTATGATGCATTTGTTATATATTTACAGACAAATGGAATGTGCTCCTTACCACCGCCCAATAACAAGCCAGGGATACTCCAGTGATGGCGATTCAGAGGAGGAATGATTTAGTGCATTCTGTATCCTCTTACCATTAACAAAAGATCTCTTTCACTTCATGAGATATTTTGTGGAGATATTAGTTCTCGCCCTGGATCAACCAAAGTATGCTTATTTATATCTTCCATTCTTTACGTCAGCCCTCTCACCTCCACAGCTACTTTGCCTTCATGATGAAAGTTATGTAAGTAATTGCCATTGACTTGGGCATCTAGATATAAAGTCCTGAGGTACATGTGCATAATTCAAGGTTTATGGAGAATTATGTATAGTACTTTTCTCTCATGGAAAATCATTTTGAATAACATCACTGCAATGCCTCAACAGAGCCTTTTATGTAATCACTCAATATATACTCCACTTTGAATTGAGACTCAATATACGTATGTGGAATTAAAAAAAAATGGTTATCCAAAGGTTTTCCTTTAATTTCTAATTAAAAATAATTCAAGAAGTATGATAAAAATGTTCACTGAATATTTCTTCACATGTAAATTTCAAGTCATTGGTGTTAGAAGAATGGATACAATAGTACCAAGTACCATTTTCCTTTACAAATCCTTTTGAGTGACTACAGAGTGATTTATTCACCTCACTGTTAAGATGACCATGTCGCCAATTGATACCATTCTAGATTTGTAAAAAAAAAAAAAAAAATTATATTGTTAATTAAGAACCGTGATGTGTTTAATGTCATAAATGTAACATTTTATATTGTTTTTGTTTTGAGAATATGGTAACAGCTCTCCGGGTAATATTGAATGCCAATTATATATATAGAGGATGCTTTAATAATTATCAGCCAGAGTTCTCAAGGAGTACTGAAGTAGGCATACATGAACAATAATTGAAGTAAACATTAGCTGCCAAACTATAAGGAGTGCCAAAGACTTGTACCTTGAAGACAATGCCACTGCTGGAAAGACTTGTTAATCATTAATGTAAACAAGTCTTGAGTATCATAGTTAAGTAGTAGTTATCAACAAGTTAGGGGTAAATTTGCAAATAAATACTCTTTATATTTGACAGTAGCCCATAAAGACAGATTTCAAACTTTTTGTGAAGAAAGTAGAAATCTGAATCTTTATTATCAAGTAGAATTCAAATTAAGAGTGAATCAAAAAATATGAATATAGTTTATTTAGGAATAAGGATTTTGAAAAGAGACATCTTTATACAAGAGGATTAAGAAAATAGTGGGTGAATGAGTAATTGTATTAGGATATACAGTATTGAGGGAATGGTACAGGCCACATTTTGTAACATGATCGAAGCATCATTGAAATGGAATGTCACCAATTGACTGGAGGTGATTGCCATACATTGGAAAGGGGCTAAAGATAGGGAGATACATAAAATGACGAATTCAAAGGCTTGGAGTGCAGAGAGAATTGATAAGGTAATGAAAAGCTAAATGTCCATTTATGGTTAGCTTGCGAAGAAATGCCTCCTTATGGTAGGGAATTAACTGAAGCTAAACCTGTAGTCATTGTTTTAGCACATACTATTACTATTGTGAATTTTCCTTGAGGAAAATTGGAAAAAATTAATAATAAGGAACTCAATAGATATTAAATGTACAAATATGTACAGTCATTAGATATTTGCAGGTATTATCAGGAAGTGCACCATATTACAAGCAGTACAAATTGATTTCATGAAAATACATCACCTTTTGTAGACTTATTGACGGAGGTCAGGAGATGCAGGAAATATTTGTTAATGGGGAAGACGATGTACACTCACAACAAAAAGTATCGGTGCATACTGCAGTGTGAACAATTTGAGACCAGTGACGATAGGTATTGGGAAAGGCGAGTTGTTCCAGCCGTATGTTGGCAGCCCTGGTCAAGTGAAACAAACCGTTATAAATCATGTCGGTAAGTGATAAATAGACAGAATGAAATATGAGGAGCTCCGTTAACAAAATTATTTGTGATACTTGTGAATATTGCCGCATTAATTTATGCTACCAAATAAACCACTCAACCTGGTCGTTCTGAGGGGTGATGAAGCGTGGACCGCCGCTCCGAGACCTGTCGTCTGTAGCACCAGTTACGAGGTATCGCCGAATCCATCGTGCAGCGGTATTCCTGTGGACACCAACCCGCCGGCTAATATCTGTGACGCCGAACCCTTCGTTATGAAGGTCAATAATAGCTCCTCGTGTTCCCTCTGAGGTTTCCATGTCGTCTGGCATGTGTAGATCTCTACTGCTTCGTATTGCCTCTGTTTTATACCCACGTTCACCGAGACCGAACCCTCGCTCATCATTCAGTCGACACAAAGCAACAACCCAAAAAGAGGAAACAAACACACTGATTGTCAGCCATATGGTAACACCTAGTGGTGGTGGTGGTGGTGGTGGTGGGGGAGGGGGGGGATATGCGGATACACTTACCAACCTTCCCGACATATCACAGTGTATACGTATCGTTTCGATCTCACCCTGCACCGATACTTTTTGGTGCGAGTGTACTATGTAAGGCAAGAAGTAAAAAATATATAGTACAGTATACCAAAAGAATTATAAGTTGGACAAAACATAACTACAGGGGTAATGGGTTATATTAGCATGAAAAGTTATTATGAAATATGCTGCACAGAGTACCAGCATGAAGGAGTTTTACAATATAATTTTCAGTTTAGTAGACGGTTATGTTTTGATAGTTGACTATGCATAAAGTGAATGCTGTACAGTTTTGTAAAGGTACAGGGTATTTTGAAAGATTTTTTGATGTGAAATTGGGAAGCAAAAAATAATCCAAGTGTTGTAGAAGGTTCTCACATAACAGCTCAAGAAACCGAGTTCTTTACCAAAGATAGGTAGAAATGGTAAATTGTTAATCGTTTGGTTTGATAGGTATTGTCAAGGTCCTGGATTGGCTGGACACATTGCTTCAGAGGTTATCACCCCATAATAAAGAGCATAATCATTTTTTTTTTTTTTCCAACTCATCAATGAAATTGGAAGCTTTATAATCTCATTGTAGACCCCACCTCACACTCCTTGCATACTGCATAACCTGAATTAAATTGTCTGTGATAATTTATCTAAAATTTTTCTGCCCTAAAAATGACATGCATTTCTTGATGCTTTTAAGTGAATTTGCAAGTTTTTACCAGCAATGGCTCTAAAATGACAAAGTTACATTTTAATAGATCAGAAATCACACACAAAACAAAATATATTGTACAGCAGTGATCAAGAATGGATTATTCAGGATTAGAGGAAGCAGTTTCTGTCAACACTCCAAGTAGATATTCATATTTATTTTCTCAATGTAGTTGTACATCAGCCATTAAATGAGACTATTCACCATGATTAGTATATTACTCTATTTATTTGGTTGTGAATATTTTACCAGTATTTGCTGAATCCTGTCCTAACATTTGAGTGGTATGTTGTAGAAAAAAGTTATGATGCATTTATATGTCCTACATTAAAGCACAAACAGGTAGCACATTAACATTGCTAATCCTACAATTACCCTTGAAAAAAAATTAAAGGTCTCCAGTTGCCAAACAGAAATTTACTGTGTGTTTATGGCTACCTAACCCAACTTTATGTTGTTCCTTTCCGTCCAGTTAGTTACATCAGTCAAGAATCTTTGTACTAATGTTATAGTTTTCCAGTAATTACAATTTCGGTCTAACGCTTAAAACGATTTACGTGGTTATCTGGTGTAAATATGTACTATAGTTTAGAACTTCAATACCAATATGATTTTTTTTTTGGGGGGGGGGAGGGGGGGGCTATATTTCCAATTAAAATTCAATAATTTTTTACATAAATCAGAAATTAGACTAAGCCTAGTTCTTCATACAGTTTACTTTCTCCAGGTAATGTATTTTTTCAAGAAGTCAAAGATCATAGCTGTATGAGACAACTAGATTACAACTATAATGCACACTTAAATCCCAGCTGTAATGCTATGAAAAAGTGTATTGCATTACATTTGTGGTTTAAATTTCTGTATCAATATCCAGATTTTGGTTTCTTTAGATGTTTCAGTAAGGTCACTGAAAGTACTCATAGTAAAATTTGATCTTTGAGTAATGTCAGGACATACAGGAGCTGCTTCTATTTAATAAGGGTTGTATTTGCTAGGTAGCACACCTTTCACATTTCATCATCATTCTCAGCTTCTCCATGGTTACAGTACAAACCAAGAACACAGTGTGATGAAATTATTGAATGTAAACCATACAAGGTATTCAATAAGTCTCATTACTATATACAAACACAAAAACATGAGATTATTGAATATCCTTGGCATCCTTTCCTTGATTTCACCACACGCACTTTAACTGTCAGAACTGTAAAGCTGAATTTTGTAGTTTTGTCAGAGAAGTCCCATAGAGTTAATCCATGCATGATTTGAAGCTGCCTGTGCAGATTTTTTAAGGAAGTAGTTTAACCGATATTGCATAATGGCTAAATATTTGTAAACTTTCCTGTTTGCCATTTTCTTGACTGGAAGGAGTTTAAAATTTCCAGTGATACATTATTTTCTTTTGCGAGATTCACTCTAAAACTGTAGGGTGTCCCTTTGTCACCATCATTACCTGGCTATAGAAATCGAATCTGTGTTCAGTCTATATGTTGTTATCACAAAGTCTTAGAAAGCTAACCCATAGTAGTGCATCTCCAGTGGATTGTTTACCAGAGATTATTGTTATGTATATATAATGAGATTATACAGATTGCTGAAAGCCTATTTTTTTCTCCTCATTTGCTTCAATTGAAATTTCAATATGTATAATAAAGATTTTTATGATTGTCAGATTTAAGAATATAAGAAAATTTGGAGTCTGCAATAGGCCGGTTGGCCTGTGCATGGCAGCTCCTGTCGAGTTACTACCCCACACTATCAACCATGAATCTATCTAGCCTCCTTTTAAAACTTTCCAGCATCCCAGCACTTACTACAAAGTTGCTAAGCAAACCACTTGTCTACCACCCTATTTGTGAACCAGTTTCTTCCTATCTACCTCCTAATCCTAAACTTATCCAACTTAAATCCGTTGCTACAAGTCCTATCCTGCTCGGATATTATAAGAACTTTATCTATATCTCCATTATTGATTCCTTTTACCTACTTAAATACTTTTATCATATCTCCACTTTATAACAAACTATGTCTCTTGAAACAAGGGTATTATATGCAGAATATTCTCCCAATACCCTCCATAATATTGCATCTCCATTAGAAAATGCATGGAAAAGTAAACCACACCTACTTGTCTGCCTCTTAATGTCATAACCTAAACACCACAGCAGCCACTAGAACCTCATATCCCATATATCTCATCTTTTACTTAGTCATCCTTTCCTATCCTTGGATTTTATATCAATATACAGTGGTCCCTCGGTTAACGAACACAATTTGTTCCACAGAGTCGTTAACCAAATCCATTATTTCAATGGGATATTGAGTAATTGGTTCCAGCTCACAGAAAAGTACATACAAAGTAAAGCCAAAAATGCATTAAGTCCAAAACACTCCTAAGATTCCCCTAAATCGCCCTTAAATCACTATATATATATTCGTACATATACACTCTTATTCTTAAATCACTAATGTAATGTGATACAGGTGATTAATTTTTATCTCGTGCAAAATATATGACGTTTATATTCAAATTATTCGCTGTCTTGCAAGGATTCCAGCAATGCAAATTATATTCTCCTAACTTTAGTCTGAGATATTATATAAGATAAAAACTGTAAGCCTAAAACCCTGGCTGGGCAGATGGGGGAGCGGGAGGTGAGGTAGTACGTTTGAGTTGGCACCGGCCCAAGGTCTAACCTGTTTATTTATCAATTCTTAAGTGACTAAGCTTCTCTCTTATAAAAAGCCAGTGAAATGACCTGGGAGAATATAAATTACATTGCTGGGATTCTTGTAAGATAGTGATTAATTTGAATATAAACAAGCTATAATTTGCACGAGACATAACAATTTTATTACCATACTCAATTTAGTACATGTACACTGAGGTTTGCACTTAGGTCATTTATTTCTTTTATGTTTTTTTAGTATGGTGTGTAAATGTAAATGGATGAAAATAAATGAAGAATTTTATGTAAATCTACCCCAAAAATACAGTTGAAAAACTTTACATTATAAAATGAACTACCTACTGTACACTAATGTACGTACTACAATTTTTATCTCATGCAAAATATGTGATGTTTATATTCAAATTATTCACTGTCTTGCAAGGATTCCAGCAATGCAAATTATATTCTCCTAACTTTAGTCTGATATTATATAAGATAAAAACTTAAAGCCTACTGTGACCACCAAACCTTTGCTGGGAGGGAGATAGGGGTGACAGTGACATGTTTGAAAGACTGCACTGAAGGTCTAGTGAAGTATTTATTTGTTTGTTTATGTCGTTTAGATTGAGTTTTTGTTTTTTGCTTATAAAATTTAATAGAAGTGACCAGGGAGAATATAATTTACATTGCTGGAATTCTTATAAGATAGTGATTATAATTTGAATGTAAACATGCAATAGTTTGCACTACTGTAGACTAAAATCTTAGTATTCATTTTGCACAAATATTAAAGAGCAAAATTTTTCTTGATATTTACTCCACTGGAAACGAATGTAAACATAGAACAGATTACTGAATTGGCAGACTAGCCAATCAGCTGATGCTCACAATAAAACGTCATGTTCGTAAGGATTTCATTAATCGAATTTTTGTTCGTTAACCGAATTGAAAATTCTTATGGAAGGTAATTTGTTAACCGAAATTTCGTTAACCGAGGGACCACTGTACATATATAGATTTCAGATGGCGAATGATTCAAAAGAAAAGTCACAATGTTAATAAACAATAAATATGCTTGGAAGTGTGTAAAAGGAAAAAGCTAACAGAGAAAGTGAATAAAAATATCCTGATGATATTAAGTAAAGAAGTAGGACAGAAAGAAATGAATGTTAGTTTGAATAGAAGATGCAAGATGTTTCAAACATTATCTGTTTGTAGATGTCAGAGAATGGAATAGAAAGTGTTAAAGATAGTTAAGGAGTAGCAGTGGAAAAAATAGTAGGTGCACCGAGATATGAATGGTGTGAGATCAACATCAAAGGAGGAAAAGATGGTGATGAACAGGGAAATCGTTGAGCCAACATTATCATCATGGACATGAACCACGAACTCTGGATACATAATGAAGAAGGAAATTGTGACAAATGATGTCCCTGAGGGCAAAATGTTGAATGAATAAGATACAGAACTAAGATGATTAATAAATACAAGTACTGGACAACACTGGTGGACCAGGGATTGCTGAAGCAATAGAAAATATGGAATGAATGCCAGTTGAAAGAAATTACAGAACAGTGATACCCCGATTTACGCGGTCAATTGAACCCACGGGGTACCGCGTAAAACGTAAACCACGTAAATGGAATAACAGAACATGTGGGATTAATTCCAAGAGACTGGCCCGACCCCCAAACTCCACTTTTTCCGACACAATACCTATGTTGGAGTAAAAATAACATCTTAATTTTATGATGGTATGCATGCACAATTAATATTAAGAGAAATACAGTCGCCAGGTTAATGTCCATTCAAATAATGGACTCGACTCCTCCCCCCCCCCCTCTCTCTTCCCAAGCTCGCTGACTCCTCCCTCTCTGAGAAATGTTTGGGTGAAAACACTAGATTTTAAGGTATAGTAATAAATAATACCTCCGCATAAAGTTAGGATAATATAATTGACATTTCTGGATTCCTTGCAGGTCAGGGAATATTTTGAATGTAAACTTCATATATTTTGCACAAAAAGATAAAATATTTGCTTTGTGTAAACCAAATTATTACATTAGATCTAAAATTTGTATGTCTAATGCAAAATCCATGATGTTTAAATTCAAAATGATCATCATATTGTAAGAATTCCAGCAATGTAAATTATATTCTGGCCGGGTAATTTGTATAAATTTTATGAGCTAAATAAAAAAATTATACTTCACCCGCGTATATGAGTAGATGCACCGCGTAAAATGAAATTCCGGTTCTGGCGAGGTACCGCGTAAATGTAGAATCGCGTAAAGCGAAACCGCGTAAATCGGGGTATTACTGTATATTGAAAATGTGTATAATTCATAAGTGAATCATAGAATGGAGATAAAGTAACATACATGAATAGAGAAGGATGAACATTCACAAAATAGCATTGTGCATAGTATCAAGCAGTTTTTGGGATGGACATGCTGCTGATGAGTGATGCCACATTCTAAAAACTGACAGGTATAAACCAAATTGATCTTCAGGGGCCTTTTTTTTTTTGTTTAGGGAATACCATAGTAATATGTTTGTTACACCAATAAGTATGATTGAAGAGAGAGTACATTTGCTCCTGTTTACAGTCACTCTGCATTATAGTGAAAAAAAGGCTTGAAAATGGAAAAGAAAAAGTATATGCTGCACTATATTAGAAGCTACTATTTATAAACAACATTGCAAACATCAGTTAATACCCAAAACAATAACCTTTTTTTTCAAATGCATGTACACTACTGTATATAGACAACTGTGCTCAGATTATGTATTATGCCATGAAGTATATAAATTGGAAAAAATAATAATAATTTCAGTGTAAAATTTTTAAGATGACCTGGAGAGATCTTTTTCAGGTAGGTTTGTCTTTCTTTTGACTGATGTTAATGTTGTGACCACTGGATACTCTTCAGATCTATTCCTTCTTGCACCATTTCCCACAAAGGACTGAAAGAATCAAAATACTCAAGTTAGTACAGTACAGTAATTGATACTTTTCAAAATTATTTCATTACAGAATTAAGGGACTTTCAAACAAGTCTCCATATATAAACTATTGCTAAATAAGAAGGCCTGTGGGATACAGACAAAGGAATAAACTGCAGTATAGGTATCCCTCAGTCATGTCTGACTTTTGGGTGTACATGTCTGACTAATCAATTAACATTCTTTTCAATTGTTTTAGAATCGGTGGATGACGGGCATGATTATGATGTGGTATACCTCAACTTTAGCAAAGCCTTCAACAGTCCCCCACGAAAGACTAATACAAAAAGTGGAGGCTCATGAAATTGGAGGAGATATTCTAAAATGGATTAGGGCATGATTACAGAACAGGAAATAGGGAAATTTGGAGTTTCTCGAATTTTCCAGAATTACCCATTATTTCATCCTCAGAATTTGCTCCCAGACCTGGGAAAAAAATGGAGATAGTTTCCAGAGATTTTCTGGATTTTTCTCAGAAATGCACCTGTTTTTCAACCTTGGAAACACGTTCAGACCTGGAATTGATTACTTTTTCCAGAAAAATTCTGAGCCAATTTTAATTCTGGGTATTGGGGAGTTCCAGCGAACTGAGATATTACTGATCCAAATTATATTTTGTTAATTCTAAGCCACATTACAATACTGTACAATATTGTAATTTTTCCCACAACTTTTATAATTTCATTACCTGTAACAATGGCAACATGCCATCTGACAGCCACCCTTCCCCAGTTTTTTCTGTCACATTACAGCAATGAAATAATATTTACCTCACCTTTATAGTGTCTTATGTAACAATGGCATATGTGTAGCCTTCTCACAGCTAACAAGCTCATATATGTTATGGTGATTTCTAGACTCGATAGTCTCCCACACACAATACTGTACATACCCCCTACACTCTTATTTTTGTCCTTATCTTTTATCTTTATATTACTGTATAGCAGTGGTGTACCGTGGTTGCACTGATGAGGCATGCAGAACATCCACATATATCAGTTATCAAATCTAATATCAAGTAAGATATGGCCTTTCTTTAAATGAGGGTTGTCAAGCTTTCATAAACACCTAATTTCTTAAATTATATCAGTGGCATCTGACAAAGTATCTATTATAAATCATTAAATAATGGGTGCAAAAATACTTATGGCAAAAGAATATTAAGCTTTCAGTGTGATCTCAGTGATTTAGAAATAAAGCAGTTAAAAAAATGACTAGGCATCATACACAATGCTGGCCCTCTGTAAAGTAGCCAAAGATCTTATTGATGAACATTTAAATAATTAGTTAATATTTTTATTTATATGATCCAATTATTATTTCAAGTAAAACGGAAAACTGAATAACTTTCCCAAGTGAAAAAAATATAACTGAAAGCGGACTGTAGGGTTATTTAGAAATAATGATGTGGACCAGTTTTGTCCAGATGACGGAGAGCCGCTGCCGGTCTACATAGCCTCTCGACAAGTGAATGCGGTTTTCAAAGTGCACACATTTGTACCCATTACATTTACAGAAACCTTATTAAATTGTCACTCTTATAGAACAATAACCCTAAGATAATATAATATCACTGTATAACACAAGATTTCATGCTTATTAAGGGAAAAAATTATTAAATTTGACTAAAATGGCTCGAATTCCTAATGCTCCAACACAATAAAGTTCATTTTAGCATGGTATTGATAGGATGGCTATGTCTATACAGTGAGTTCTGCTATAACGCGTGTTTTGATAACGCGAATTGGCTCTAATGCAATTTATGAATAGAGGAACGATATTTGCATAACGTGAACGCTTGTTTGCTGTAACGCGATTTTTGCTTACCATTTCTCCAATTTTGTGGTATTAACTGTGAATATGGTAAAGAAGAATATCTCCAAGAAGCATTCTGGTGATCGAATTCCCGGTGATGATCGTAAAAGAAAGGATATAACACTTGAAGAGAAGCTCGATGTTATCAACCTCAAAATCACCCTTCTCCCCCATCAAGTTATATTCATATTTTTTCAAGGTAAAGTGTTACATTTACTGTATGATTTCATTATTAGGTATGAATGTAACATTTATTTAGACTGTGCTATCCTTTGTGTTAGGCTAACTACTAATTTTTTTCGATTTCGAGTAGTAATCTGCACCTAACCCTATTTTCTCCATAAGTCCTGTTATTTCTATTACGCGATTTTCTATAACACGATATTTTACAAGAACACAACTATCGCGTTATAGCACAACTGACTATGTCCATTGAGGTCATGCGGCTTATCCTTCTGCATGCATTGAGGGACGCTGAGTCTCCTTGACTTTCCTGAGTGAAAACGTGAAGACTCGAAAATTAAATCTGTATTATTGAAGATACTACTGTATTTAAAAATATATTTTGATTTAATCTAGGCATGCACTGCATGCCTTGCATTCATTAAGAATATACCACTGCTGTACAGTATACTCTATACACTAATTTCTTTATTCATAAGGCACACCAGCACACTGAAATGACTTTTCCACAAATTCTGTGGTTACGTAACAACAATGGAATTAGGAGTCAATTGTGAAACATGACTGACATATTTTGGCATGGTAGAAATTTCACACTTGTAAGGCACGTTTATTACTTATTATGGTTATATTTACATTGCCCTCTGTATATTATGTGGTTTATAACACTAGTTATGCATCATATTTGGGTGCACACAGACTTAATACTGTATAAAACAGCGGATGATGCAAACAACGTTTATGTAAAACAATCGACATATAATGGAAATTTCTTCCTATACAGCTCCTCCCCAACTTACGACCTACTAGACTTACGACCACACGGACATACGACCGCCTCAGTTGTACCAAAATTGTTAAATTACGTATGTTCGGGTCCCAAAGTCAATGATTGCGCTGTGTACTGACAAAATTTTCGTTTGTAATTCACTTTAAAATGGCTGGCAAGCTTAAAAGTGAGAGTTTTGTGGTGCTGAGAAGAAAAACAGACACCCATTTTAGATTTTCAATGTATCATTTTAGCATTTTCGACTTACGACCATTTCGACTTACAACCTGGATTTGGGTCCCTAACCCCGTCGTAAGTCGGGGAGGAGCTGTATTTGTAAGTGACGTATATGTGAAATGATGTACTGTATATATTGGTTCAATGTATAGCGAGGAACCACTGTAACTAGTAAACCATATGGAATAGAAAACCTTGCAAATTGTAGTGTGAATTTGTGAAGAAGAAAGATTTACTGGGGGAGCTTTGAGAATTAAAATATTTTGGAATGATACCAGTGATGTTGCTGTTGTAACATCTGCTTCACAGGGGGTGTGAAGTCAATGAGCCTCAAGTATTTGGCAACAATTGTTAGTCACTCTAGAAGATATTCATGGCAATTTTGTTGAAGAACTGTCTATTTTGTGCAAATGAATTGTACAGTGTTGAGAAATTGATTAGTGAGAGAATGGACATTAACAAAATGCAGTTTTGGTTCATACGAGGAAGTGGGAGTGCAGAAGCATTATTTAAGGTCAGGCAACTACAAGAGAAATATCTGAGGAAGTAGAGAAAATTTTACTTCATATTTGTACACTTAGAGAATGCATTTGACAGGGAACCATATGAAGAAGTAAAGTGGGCAATGAGAAAGCCAAGGGTCGAAGAGTGTTTTATTCAAGTAGTTATGGCATTATACAGTATATGGCCTTAAAAATTGCTGAGAATTAATGACAAGAAAAGTGAGGAATCTGAGGAGAAAGTAAAGGTTCATCAAGGGTCTGTCTTGAGCCCCTTCTGTTTATCATGTGCAAGTAATCATGTGACCCTAGCAAGGCTGGAGAAACTCAACATTGGAGATATTTCCCTGGACTGTATTGATGAGTTATGCAACCTGGATGACATGAGCAGTGCCAAAGCTAGTTCAATTGCAATAGTCAAAAGTGGCTACACATAATTAGGGAGTTGCAGCTTTTACTGACAGCTAGATAATTTCCCTTGAAATGAATGGAAAGATATACTGTAAGCAGCTTCAGCAAACTGAAATGAGAATGTTGAGGTGGATATGCAATGTGACACTGACAGACAAGAAATCATGTTCAGAGTTAAAGGGGTGGCTGGATATTGAAAGTAAGGTTTGGGAATGTAGAGAAAATGAAGAAGACCAATTGGGTCAAGAGATGCACGAGTTTATCTGAGGAGGGGAGGAGAGCTAGGAGTAGGCCAAGAGTAACATGGGGATAAGTTGAAAGAAATGACAGAGTTAAGAACCTGATGAAAAACTTCTAGAGACAGCAGAGACAGCATAAACATGGAGAGCTCATCAGGTAATCACAATTAACCCAATAAAGCATGGAAAACAGCCATAATATGTTAATGATGATGGAGCACCATAACAGTTGAAAGAGTGGATTTTGGTCGAGCTGAATACTGTGTTAACATTGGTTTTGGGAAAGATGGTGGCCACAACCTATTCTGTTCGATTATTTAATTTTTTCTGGAAACTGATTGCCGAGATGTGAATATCTGGTAGAGAAATAATTCAGCCTAACATGCTGTTAGGCTGAATTATTGATGGAGTAGGTTACTAAGATGTTATGTGCAGGTATGTAGATGGTTGTGTTGAGAGGTGTAAAGGACAATTCTGATTAACTAAATTGTCAATGAAAATTACAATATGTAACTATAACTACAACTGTACAAAATGGAATTAATTTTCTCTTACCTCATCTCTCTCAGTCGCTCAATATGATCAACACATTTATTAGCAGTGTATTCTACTTCTTGCTCTGTAGTAAATCTGCCAATACCAAAGCGAATAGAGGAATGTGCCAAGTCTTCCTCAGCACCAATGGCACGCAGTACGTAGGAAGGTTCAAGAGAGGCACTGGTGCAAGCTGAACCAGATGACAGAGCCACATCTTTCAAAGCCATCAGTAAACTTTCACCTGTGATAAGCAAAAAAGTTATTCCAAAGTATATCACAGTAATAAGAAAACATTTTTTATTTTATTAAACTAATAAAATCAAACAAAGCATTCTTTAAAATGCACATGCCTCCTCTGACTGCAAAATTTCAATGTCCAAAGGTGGATAAATCTTAAAAAAAAAAATAAATAAATAAAATAAATAAATAAACAGGTTGACATTCTAAACAAAGTAAATTATCTAAAGATACATGTAAATAAGCCAAAAAATAATGATCTTTGTACACCAGGTACCAATTGCATAATCCTGCAAACAAATTTGCTCGGAACAGATGACAAATAGACAAACATATGCAACTCAATTTGTCCCCTACATACAATGGGCATAAAACAGAGTACAATATAGTAAAAAGAATCATATTGAATAAATAGTTCCTCACCTTCAACAAATGCAAAAGAGAGGTTCACACAACCAGGATACGAGTGTTCAGGGTCACCATTTCTTGTAATATGTGATACTCTTGATGTGATGGATTCAATCAACTTGTTTGATAACTTGGTAATGTGAGCATGATCATATGTCATTTCCCGCTTTGCAATTTCACAAGCAACGCCAAAACCCACAACCAAGGGAGTAGGTACAGTTCCTGACCTGGAAGTATTAATATACCATCAACAACCACATTACCACAATAATGTACACTATATATTTTGTAACAAATAATATAAGCTATAGAAACAAACAAATTTCCATTAAAAATACAGTACTGTACAGTATTCCATTAAACTACAACAAATTCATATATGTTATCGTGTTATTTGTGGCAACAGCCAATTAGCACAATGGTAACACATGGTAAACAGCTCAGTAGATGGGAATTCTTTTGATAACAAGAAAGAAATTCCCTAGAGTTGCGACTGTGGTGAGTACCAGTACTTAGTTTACCGGTACACTTTCCTTCCTTTCTTTATCATTCAGGTTGATTTCTAAATTTAGAAAAAATAATTCACTAGTCAGCTCTCTATGGTCAGACACCACACATAAGGGATAATTACCACATATATACAGTACCATAGCTAGGTTAAAGGAATGAAACTTAATTGTTCTACTATTCAATACCCATTTGGTGAAATTTGTCAAAAAAGTTAATTAAAATATTATAGAATGGTCAGCACTGGGAAAGGTCATTCAAGTGTAATAAAGTATATAGAAAGGCTGGAGTTATAGGTACAGTCAACCCTCACTTTACGCGGTTAATGTAACCCACAGGGTACCGCGGAAAGTGAGAAACGCGTAAAGTGAATAACATAACATATGGGATTAAATGAAATAGAGACCAGCCGACCCCCAAACTCCACTTTTTCCAACACAATACCTATGTTCTAGTAAAAATAACATCTTAATTTTATGATGGTACATGCACACAATTAATACTTAAGAGAAATAGAGAAATACAGTCGCCAAGTTAATGGCCATTCAAATAATGGACTCAACTCCCTCCCCCTCTTCTCACACTACACTTGCTGGCTCTTCCCTCTCTGAGAAATTTTGGGGGGAAAACCAGGTATAGTAATAAATAATACCTCAAACTAAAGTTAGGATAATATAATTGACATTGCTGGATTCCTTGTAAGACCAGGAATATTTTGAATATAAATGTCATATATTTTGCACAAAAGATAACATATTTACTCAGAGTAAACATTATATCTAAAATTTGTATGTTTACTGCAAAATCTATGATGTTTATATTCAAAATGATCATCAAATTGTAAGAATTCCAGCAATGTAAATTATATTCTGGCCGGGTAATTTGTATGAATTTTATGAGCTAAAACAAATATCTTCAGTTAATAAAAAAAAAATATTCTTCACTACACTATCTGTCAATCAAAGTACCCCACCTTGCCTCCCCCCCTCTTCCAAGCACCAGATGATCGGTCCGTCCCAACCCTCCCCCCCCCATCCCCCACCAACCCTCCCTTCAAGAGAAAGGTTGGGTGAAAAAACTAGATTTTAACATTTAGTATTAAATAATACCTTAGATTAAAGTTAGGATAATATAATTGACATTGCTGGATTCCTTGTAAAACCAGGAATATTTTGAATATAAATGTCATATATTTTGCACAAAAGATAACATATTTACTCAGAGTAAACATTATATCTAAAATTTGTATGTCTAATGCAAAATATATGATGTTTATATTCAAAATGATCATCAAATTGGAAGAATTCCAGCAATGTAAATTATATTCTGGCCGGATAATTTGTATGAATTTTATGAGCTAAACAAAAAAATTCTACTTCACCCGTGTAAAGGGGTACACCCACCGCGGAATGTGAGCATCCTGGGTTCTGGTAGGGCACCGCGTAAACTGGAAACGCGGAAAGTGGGACCGCGTAAAGTGAGGGTTGACTGTATATAAAATATATTAAATCCTTTTTAAATGGTGACTTACCTCATTCCTCTTTCTTGTCCTCCACCACTCATCAGGGCTTCTACACGTACTCTTGGCCGGCGACGTACATAGAGACACCCAATACCCTTTGGTCCATAAATCTTGTGGCCACTAAGAAACAATCAATAACAAGTTAACTTCAAAACAAAAATACTTAAAAAGTCACCTCAAAAAGTCCTGTCTCCTACCAAACTTAATCTGTATTCAACCTACATGAGATACAGATAGTGTAGCATCAGCTGTGTTGAGCTCCTGAATTACATACAGTGATCCCTCGGTTAACGAGATTTCGGTTAACGAATTACCTTCCATCAGATTCTTAACTTCGGTAAACGAGCATTCCCTCGATTAACGAATTCCTTACGAGCGCCCCTCGACATGTTTTCGCTTGCACACTAGCTGTAGTATTAGTCCGCCAATACAGTAATCGGTTCTAGGGTTTAAATTCCTTACTATTTGAGTAAATATCAAGAAGTTTGTACGATTCAATAATTTTATAAATCTTATATTAAAATTTTTAGTCATTTTAACAATTATTTAACATAATTTAAGTCCAGGGAAACTAGTTTATAGCGTGCCAAACAGCCTGTCAACACACCATACAGGCGTCAGTCTCTGTCTTTTCAGTGGAGGTAACATCTTACTTCAGACTCTCCAACATAAATGCTTTTTTTGTGTTTTTCCAGTCAAATTATTGGACATTCTGAAGTTTATTTTACATATTGACAATATATAATGCGGTGCAGTGTTGATTTAAAGAAAATAACCTTGAATTACACCAAGAGAACTCAAATTTTATGGGTGAAATGGCGGCATGGGGTGACTTCTCTTCCACCCCAATGCCTTCTCTTCTCCCTTCTCCTCCACCCCCACTTCCTTCTCTTCTCCCTTCACCTCCCACTTCAAATGCACATCATCATCATCATCCAGGAGCCTTCTACATACACACCTCAAAGTAAGTGTACTTTATTACCTTTTTTGTTGACTTTAGGCAATTTTCGGTGAGCTGGAACCAATTACCCAAAAACCCATTGAAACAATGGTTTTGGTTAACGAATTTTTTGGTTAACGAGCAACCTTCTGGAACGAATTGTGCTCATTAACCGAGGGACCACTGTATATGGTACCAGTGAGCATTCTTGGTTACAATATCCCTAATGAAGAGATTATACCCATTTCCTCTAACATTATGTTCTGAATGAAATACCCTCACTTCCTTTCAGACTATGTGTAAAGTTCTCAGAAAGCAGTAACTTTTACAAGAGTTGATAAAGTAGTTATTTATCCTGATGTCTGCCTCCTGCGACTATTCTCTAAAGAAAAACCAGGCATTGTGGCTGGCTAAATTAATGAAAAAAAAATACACAGCTCCTCCCCGACTTACGACGGGGTTTGGGACCCAAATCCAGGTCGTAAGTCGAAAATGCTTAAATACAGTGGTCCCTCGGTTAACGAGCACAATTCCTTCCAGAAGGTTGCTCGTTAACCGAAAAATTCGTTAACCGAAACCATTGTTTCAATGGGTTTTTGGGTAATTTTTTTTTTTTTTTTTTTTTTACAAGGATTAGCCCACCTGGGCACAGGTCACTGACCCACATTGGGGCCTGGGGGGTGAAAATTTAATAATAATAATAATAATAATAATAATAATAATAATAATAATAATAATAATAATAATAATAATAATAATAATAATACAGTAATAATAATAGTCATAATAATTCATAATAAATAAAATTTATGATAAAACAAACAAAAATAAAATAATGATGATGATAATAATACAGTAACTGTAATAATAATAATAATTTTAATAATAAAGAACTATAAATACAAAAATGAAAAAAAGATCAAAAGTGAGAAATAATATATGTATGTTGTGTTGTCAATGGTAAGAGAAACAATTGAGACCCTGCAATTGGGTGTAAATGAAGCAGAAAGTCAGATCAGCAACCTGGGACTTGGTCACAATTTTCGTGATGCCATATGGCAGCAGGGTCTACCATTAGACAACACATTATGCTTCCAGTATCTTTCCAGGCGGTAGTACCTCCCTGTTTGGTAGCTGCCTACTACCTACAAACAAAAAATAAATGCAGTAAAGTACACTTACTTTGAGGTGTGCATGTAGAAGGCTCCTGGTTGATGATGATGATGGGAATTAGAATGGGGGTGGAGGAGAAGGGAGAAGAGAAGGCATTGGGGTGGAAGAGAAGTCACCCCATGGCGCCATTTCACCCACAAAATTTTAGTTTACTTGGTGTAATTAAAGATTATTTTCTTTAAATCAACACTGCACTGCATTATATATTGTCAATATGTAAAATAGATTTCAAAATGACTGGAAACACAGAAAAAAAGCATTTATGTAGAAGAGAGTCTGAAGCAAGCTGTTACCTCCACTGAAAAGACAGAGACTGACGCCTGTATGGTGTGTTGACAGGCTGTTTGATGCGCTATAAACTAGTTTTCCTGTACTAAAATTGTTAAATAATTGTTAAAATGACTAAAAATTTTAATATAAGACTTTTAAAATTATTGAATACCGTAGTACAAACTTCTTGATATTTACTAAAATAGTAAGGAATTTAAGCCCTAGAACCGATTACTGTATTGGCGGACTTTAATGACAGCTAGTGTGCAAGCGAAAACATGTGGAGGAGCGCTCGTAAGGAATTCGTTAATCGAGGGAATGCCCGTTAACCGAAGTTAAGAATCTTATGGAAGGTAATTCGTTAACCAAAATTTAGTTTAACCTTAAGACAATTAAAACACACACACACACTACATCCTTGACCACCGAAGGGTCAAGACGTACCTGGCGCTCCTCTCGGAGCAGCCAGGTCAACTGTTAAGTTGGTCCATACCAACCCCCTCCCCTGAACCCTCCTTCCCACTGGAATATCAACAAGTTCTCGCCAGAAGTTACAATTTCATTTAGGAAAGGAATGGAACCAGTGTTAAACAGAGGTGAACAGTGGTGAACAGTGCTTAAGTCAGTGAGAACAACTCAACAGTAACAGCCGTACCCAAGTTAACCTTCACACAGTGAGGTCCCAGGTACCCAGTGATAACGGCCCATGAGACCCAACAACAACCAGCGATGTGTTAATCCGTCTACGATAGGAAGGCCTAAGACCAAACCTCACTCATATAACACCATCTGTGAGGGAATTACTACACCACATGTCCCTCATAACACCATATGTGAGGGAATTACTACACCACGTCAAGTCCCTCATCACACCATCTGTGAGGGAATTACCACACCACGTGAGGTCCCTCATAACACCATCTGTGAGGGAATTACTACACCACGTCAGGCCCCTCATAACACCATCTGTGAGGGAATTACTACACCACGTGATGCCCCTCATAACACCATCTGTGAGGAAGTTACTACACCACGTGAGGCCCCTCATAACACCATCTGTGAGGTAATTACTACACCACGTGAGGTCCCTCATAACACCATCTGTGAGGGAATTACTACACCACATGAGGCCCCTCATAACACCATCTGCGAGGGAATTACTACACCACACCAGGTCCCTCATAACACCATCTGAGGAAACTACTACACCACGTGAGATCCTCCTAACACCATCTGGGAGGGAGTTACTACACTACGAGTTTGCTGTTCAACACCTACATTAATCTGTATGTTCACTGTATGTTCCTTTACCTTTCTCCAATGAAGGCTTTTGTTAAACCACCAATGTATGTAATAAGTCATTTATGTCCAATGTATATTTTCAGCCTTCGGGCTGCAGAACTTTTTCAATAAACCGTTAATTATTATTATTATTATTATTATTACACATACACACATACATAATGGTAAAATCCTCTCACAAGGACACCATAGTCCTCAGCATGCTTATAAATTGTGGCCACAGTAGAAGCAGCCAGACCAAGATCTTTCCCAATCTTGGTAGGGCCATCACCACGGTCATGACTCTTAACTACCTCCAGCTTTGTCTCAAAAGTGGATTGTTTGGTGTAGTACAGGTAGCCAAATATTCAGCAGAATGCTTGAATGCCATAAAGAAACTATGGCACTAATAGACATGGATAAGGAGAGATTACTTTACACACAATGAATAGGAGAAGGAAAGACGTGGGCTTGTGGGAGATGTGGGAGGGAAGGGGTATGATTAGTGAGCGAGAATACGTCTCTGTGCATCTCTCCCCAAGATGGCTGTGTTAGCTGACTCCCGGCACGCGAAATTTTAATTTTTACCTAAACCCAAATTTGTAAAAGCAGGGGAAGCTTATGTATCTCAAAAAAAATTTAAGCAAATTTTTGTGTTTTGAACGTTTGTATATCATGGGATACCTACACTGTTTTTCTCATCATCTAAACTTGTTCTCACATCCATGTTTGGTGTACATAAAGTTGGCAAGCATGATCAACTCCACTTGTTAGGAGATTCCTGGCAACTACTGGAGTTTTTGGTAACACAAATTTGTCAAGGGAACCTTTCTATACAATATCAATTTCTTCTCGTTTCCTTTTCTTTTGCCTTTTCTCTGCCCCGAGCTGTATTTTCTGTATCTGTCTCTTGTCTCTGCTTGCCATGTTTCTTGCACAAAAAAAAAGTATATCCACAAAACTCAAAAGGCAGGAGTCACAGCTCACAGGACACGACACAACCTGATCTCACCGGTTACTGACCCTGGTGGACTGGCTGTGTGGAGTGGAGTGCAATGGATTATGGAGTCAGATTATGCGGTCAGAGGAACCCACCCCCAACAACCCCCATGGGACTGTCGCTATGGATGGTAAGATCACGGGTGCGATGGTGGCGTAAGCCGTCAGGTCAGATTAACCAGTCAACAGGTAATGTGTCCGAGGTCACTGGATTCTAGTGCTGGGCCCCCACACGCACTGGGCCCCGGGCGGTCGCCCCCCTTAAAGGACGAGCCTGCCCATCCCCCTCACTTCACTTCACCCCATCCCCTTTTTGGTGTTCATTTCTCCCTCCTATTGTCCACCTCTGACTTGTACACTATTTTTACCAAACTTTCAATTCTCATGATCTCAGTACTGTACAGTATATCCATATTGGTAGGTGGACATTTCGTCACCGGACAATTCATCACCAGTCTATTGAATACCGGGTTACAATTTTAAATTTAGACAGCAATGTCTTTAATTTGGAGGTTTATAATGAACCATCCACATCACCTTAGCAAATCCCAGTCAGCACCTCTGTCCCACACTTTTTCACCTTTATATTTCTGCATCTTATTCATCCTTTAAACTATTCTCTAGCACATAATTTTTTTTAAATCTAACTTCTTCCTCTTGCATTTAGACCTTACCAAAAGAAGTAAAAATGAGAATGTACAAGAGAGGTGAGCCAACGTTACACTATGGGTGTGAAGTAAGGATTCTGGATGGAAGAAGGAGCAAATCAGTACTGTAGTGTGAAAAATTACATGTTTGAGGGCAATATGTGTGGTAATGTACATAATACTGTATTAAGATGTGGAGAATAAGAAACACAAAATCTTTGAGGTAGGTGCAGAAGTGAAAGAACTGTCAAGCAAAGAGCAGATCAGGGTCCACTCAGGTGGTATGGACACACTGAAAGAATGGAAAATGAAAGATTGTACAGTAAAGTAATCGAAGAATTTAATGATAGGAGAAAGAGGAGAAGCCAAAAAAAAGATGGAACGATGAGTGAAGAATGCACTAAAAGTGAGAAGGGAAGGATACACTACTGACAGATTGTGAGATTGTGTGAAGCAACATGAGTAAACCAGTGATATTTGCAGCCTTGTTGTGAAAGGAGTGTACCACAGTTAAACACATCTATTCGAGCAGATAATGCACAATAGCAAATGAATCATATATTCATGTGTTTAATCTAGATCCCAGCTACTTGCATTATAGGAGGAAAAGGCTTGAAAGTGAGAAAATATATACCATTTATACAGGCATTGCAGCTCCTTACCTGACTGACATGAGGTCGATATTCAAGTCATGAACATTGATGGGGATTTTACCAACAGCTTGTGCAGCATCAGTATGGAAGAAGACCTTATGTTCACGACACATTGCCCCAATTTCCCTTTAATAAATAAATGCACGTTAAACATTTCTATTCACAAAACAGCAATACAACTTTGTTATATATACACCTTTCTCAGGCAAGATTGTCCATAAATGACTTTTAATAACTACCTAAGGTCAAAATTTGGTTTTATGGACATAATGTAGAAGACTTATGCCTCTGCTAAAAAAATACAATAAACAAGGAAAGTGAAGCCTGCTATTAACTAATAAGCCTGTAGGTACTTGGTGGGCTCTGCCTTCTAGGTCTTATTGGTTAAACCTTACCAGGTCATTTGTAAGGTCTTACAGACCATAAAATATATAAAAATTACACAGAGCAAAACTGAAGCAATTCAATCCAAAACCATTTTAACAAATTAAATATATATTGCATCTCTGTCTTCAAACACTCACCTGATAGGTTGGATAACTCCAATCTCATTATGGACCATCATGACAGACACCAGTGCTGTGTCTGGACGTAAGGATGCCTCTAAATCTGCCATCTTGATGATGCCAGACTTTTGTACAGGTAGATAAGTCACATCCCAACCCTCATTCTCTAAAGCACGACATGAGTCGAGTACACACTTGTGTTCCTGCAAGTGGAATTTCATTTTAATGAAAAGCAATGGCAAAAAGTATTGTATTCAGTGGAAATAAGATATAAACAATAACAAATGGGAACTTAAAAAAATAATTATTATCTATTAATAAGTAGGCACATGCAAATATGAATTGCCTTCAAATCTAATTGTTAAACAAAACTTTTAAAAAATATATGACAATTAGTTTTATAAATAACAGAAGTTTAATTTTTTTGAAATGATTAAAATATTAAATTAATAAACAATCATTAATTGTCAAAACAATGCAGTGAGCTTCAGTAATAACATTTTATCACTGGAGAAGGATGAGGATGTGACCCAAGAGATTATCCTACACCAGTTTAAACACATGCATTGAAGCAAAAAGTAATGAGTGAAAGATTCAGGGGAAGTATGCAGATCCAAGTCAGGCACAGTCAACATCCCTCTCCAGCCATTAAATGGTGTATATTGCATGTATGAAGGAGTACAGTAACAGTACTCTTAAGTCATATCTAAAATATCATGCCTAATAATTCTAGTTTCAAATAGGATACATACCGTTTGAGTAGTAATTACATGCCGTTTCTTGGACTTGTAAAACCTAGCTACTCCTTTCACACTGATGTTGTTACTTTCTGTTGCACCTGATGTGAAGATAATCTCCTTCTTGTCCGCTCCAATGAGGTCTGCAACTTGCTATTTTGAAAAAGAAAAAGGGGACACTATTATACAAGTTTAAGTAGATTGGATAGTCCTATCATTACTTTACTTTCTTTTCTTTACCATTTGTTGTCACACAGCAGAAAGTTAGTTTGATGCATTTTGTCACTTTTGCAAGCAATTCCTCACTAATGCACAAGATGGCTGAAATCGACAGTATCTCACACAACTCACTTTCCAATCATCACTTTTTTTCCTGTAGCAACTAAAGAAAAAGTAAATTTCTACACCCTTACTCCTTCTTTGTAAAGGCTAAAGAAAATAACCACCCAAATTTATGTCACAAAATATATCCATGTACAGTATCCAAACAATTAAATCTTAACATATTGTATCTGTATATGATAACAACAGCTTCTCTCACCTGTCTAGCTTTCTCCATGGCCTTTTCACTTTCCCAACCATAAGCATGTGTGCGAGAATGTGGGTTTCCATATTGATGAGTAAAGTAAGGGAGCATAGCATCTAAAACCCTTGGATCTAGAGGGGTGGTGGATTGAGCATCAAGGTATAGTGGCCAAGAATCTGTATCATTGCTTGCTGGGTTTGATTTTGCTGCATGTTGGACCGAGGATGAACCTAAAATACAAGACATACAAGTGAGTGAAAACTTTGCATCCTGAAAGTGGTTATTGTAAAGGTGTTGACCATTATATGATAGGGGTTAGGGACTGCAAAAAGCCATTGTTAAGTGATCGATCATATACCAAAATTAATAACTTACGGGAATTTTTTTTTCCTGAAACCCTAAAGAGCCCCAAAAAGTTTTATACACTGCTGCTATAATGATTAAATACTGTCTAGATGACTCAAATAATTTAAGACAAAAAAAATACATTTATACATACACAAAACACAAAAAATTTATGCAAAATATTTATTTTCCTTTACCTTACATGATATGCAGAGTATGTTTACAGTGTACTGTACTAAGTAGCAATCCCCAACAGTCGTTACAAGTAATGTACACTCACGCGCCATAGTTTCGAGGCACCCTCTACCGCAACTCCTGGCTCAAGGGAAGTCGTAATCAGGGCTGCAAACCAAACGGCCCCTCTTGTATAGTGATGGTAAATAAAGTGTCGTGAAGTCACTAAAAACCTGTATCGTGCATATATTCTCCCAAATATTGCATCATGAACTGCTATTCGTACAACACGGCGAAGCTTCGAGCTACCACATTGCACCACTGAACGATAGGGGGGCATTCAGTATGAAGCCAAGGCTACGACTTCCATCAAGTCAGGAGTAGGGGTAGCGGGTGCATGAAAACAATGTCGTGTAAGTTTACCTATAATGAATTTTATTTTAGTTATTCTGATTATTTTTACTGAACTCATTTGTGTGTGTCATCTTATAAGAATATGTGAGTACTGTGCTGTACATACAAGTTGCAAATTATAATACAGTACAGTATACCTTTCTGTACTGTACTTTGGGAAGTATATTAACACTGGGGATCATTCACTCCTATGTGGCATTTTGATTTCATGTAAATGAAACTTTTGCCTCATGATCAGACACTCCACTGTGGTATATAGTCAATTTCTCTAAAAGTTCCTGGTTGACTTACCTTTACTTCAAATTTTAACACCACTCTCTTCACACCACTCCCCTGCATTGAACCAAGAGTTAAGGCTGTGTGGCAACCCGTCTACATGCAATGGACTGTGCAACCTCATGACAAACACACCAGAATGTGTCTGGCTCAGTATGTGTGTTCCGGGCATGATTTAAAAATGGCTACTGTGGCGTTTGCACCACTACAGGTGCTCCTCTACTTAAGAACGTTCAGCTGACAAACTTTCAGAGATACAAACATCATCACTGACAGGGGTTACCTGCCAGAACAGGTGTTTAATGTGGATGAGACTGGATTATTTTGAAGAAAATTCCAGATAGAACAAACATTACCTAAGAGGAGAAGAGTGAGCCAGGTTTTAAGGCTGCATTAAAGGGCATAGCTGTTCTAAGTATCCATAATCTTTTCATTTTTTACAATATGTTTGGTATCTACAGGAGTAAAGTTGGACTTACAAACAAGCCTCACTAAAGCATTCGACCTAGTCGACCACAATATAATCATCAACAAAGCTATTGACCTCGGGCTTCGGAGAAGTCTTATACCATGGCTTACAGACTTCCTCAGTGACCGACGCCAAGCTGTACGCTTCCGAGGGGCTGTCTCCACCTTTCAGTCACTCACCTGTGGCGTCCCCCAAGACACCAAGATGGGACCACTCTGCTTCCTTATGCTCATCAATGATGCCCTAAGAGAAACCCCTGCTCGCTGGAAATATGTCGACGACTCCACCATTGGGATCAGCGTCAACAATTCTGCTCCCAACTACTGTATACCGCCCTTCAGGATTTATTGAACAGTCTCCAAAACTGAGCCACCAACAACCATGTCACCATCAACCATACCAAGACCATGGTTATGCACATCAACCTCTCCTCCGACATCGTCCCACCTCCTTCCATTACTCTAGGTCCGAACACACTCCAGGTTGTAGATTACACGAAGCTCCTCGGCGTCACCATAGACAACAAACTAAATTGGAAACCACACGTCAGTGAAGTTGTCAAATCCTCCAGTTTCCGTCTCCACCTCCTCCGCCGACTCAAGTCCCTCGGAGTTCCTGCACCGAGCTCCTCAGTGTTTACACAACATTCATACTTCCCAAGCTCACCTCCCCCACCTGGTCTTCCTCCCTAAATGCCACACAACGTAAACACCTAGAAAAAGTGCAAAAGAGGGCATGCAAGATTATTCTCTCCCCTTCCTACTCCACATATCAAGAAGCGCTCAACACACTGACCCTTTCGACTCTCACTGACCATCACCACGACCTCATCTGCAAATTTGGTAGGAAGCTTCTACACCATCCTCGACACCGGCACCTACTACCACCTGAGATCCCTAGCCCGAGAATTGCTGTTCGACACCACAACCGCATCCAGCCCATACGTGCACGAACTGATCGCTATAAGAACAGGCCAGTCCCAACCATTGTAAAAATTATCAATAACTTGTAATAAACCAGTGTATTCACTCCCAGTAAACACTACTCCTTGCATTGTCACTATGTTGAAATGAACTGTAGTTTGAGCTTTTCCCCATCTAGTTATTGTATATCTTATTTGTATCACTTATGTTACTTGTATATTATTTGTAATTCGAAACCCATTCCCCAATTATGTAACTGTATATTTTCAGCCTTCTGGCTGCCAAACTCTTTCAATAAACCGTTAATTATTATTATTATTATTATTATTATTATTATTTAACTCATTCGTAAGTAGAAGAGCACCTGTATCTCCAAATATTTATTACTTACAACCTCGATATTTATTCTTTTGAAGTGATAAAGTGATGTGTATTGAAATATTTATGAAATAGTGAAATATTTTTTAATTTGTGAGACGTTGGTGCAATGGCCACGTGACCAAGTGGACGTTATCAAATATTTATCAGTTCCAACCTCGATATTTATTCTTATGAAGTGATAAAGTGATGTGTATTGAAATATTTATAATGAAATAGCAAAATATTTTTGGATTTATGAGACATTGGTGAAATGGCTACTCACAATACAGTCGCACAAAAGCATGTCACAATATATAGACCTAGCTTGGAAAAATAATAAGTGACAGTGAAATGTAGTGCAGTAGAAGCATGCTTATGGGTATGGCGAATTATAATGAATATACAGTACTATATTTTGCTTATTTGATACGTATTTGTAACGGCATCGCCATTATCATGCATATGCCAAGGCCTACCTTGTTTGAGTGGTAAGTAGAAATATTATTGTCAAATTTTCAGTTTTTATCACAAACTTCTAACTGTCTATTTATCTTCCTTAGTATTTGTACAGTAATAATCCATCATAAAAAAACTACTTTTGAAAGATTTCAACAAAAAACTAGCAAAGAAAAAATGTGTACTACAGTACAAACATTTTGCTAAATGCGTGCCTAACCACCACTTATTTTTACTTTTAATCTGTAAATCTTGTATTTTTTACATTACAGTCAACCCTCGCTTTACGCGGTCCCACTTTACGCATTTCCACGTTTACGTGGTACCCTGCCGAACACGGAATGCTCACTTTCCGCGGTGTGTGTACCCTTTTATGCAGAGAGCGGCGCGAGCAGGGTGCGCACAAGGTCGCCCAGTCATCAAAACATTACCGAGTTCTTCACCCGCCACCCACCACAGCCGGCCCAAGTCAGTGATAGTGATAATTATAGTGAGGACATGGACTTATATGGACTTTGAGGGGTTTGACAAAGAGGCCCTGCAAGCCTCTGTGGTGGATAGTGATACAATTGATACAAGTGATACAGGTGAGGGCCAATAATCTGCCCTCTGCCTCGGAACCAACCGCCCATCCCCGTGTGCCCAGCCATCTTTTCTACTAATGTAAGTGTTAAAAAACCTAATATTATTGATATTTTTCTTAATTATTAATTGTGTGTGCATACCATCATAAAATTAAGAAGTTATTTTTACTACAACGTAGGTATTGTCTGAAAAAGTGGAGTTTGGGGGTCGGCCCAGTCTCTATTTCAATTAATCCCATATGTTATGTTGTTCACTTTACGCGGGCCGTCGTGGGTTCAATTGACCGCGTAAAGTGAGGGTTCACTGTATCTGTTTTTCTGATTACACCTTCATTTTCCTCATGATTTATTCTTTCTTGTCATGTGCATTTTATACTGGCTAATACAATGATGTGGGTACAACACAAAGAAGAATCAACAGTAAACTTTCACCTTTCACTTATACCCACCAAAATGGCTGTTATTTATTATTTTATTTTATTTTATTTTTGAGGGTTTCATTTTTATATGGGAAGGCATCATTTTAATATATTTTTGACAATATCTTAGCCATGAAAAGTGCTCGGGGGAAATAAAATACCTTCTCCACAATTTCTGGTCATTCTGCGGGCTCCAAGCAGAGAAAGTGACAGGATCATTCAATAAATTTCAAGCGATCATGAGAGTTAAGAATTTCACTGAAAGTCTCTCAACAAGCAGAATCATTTAACAAGAGTCAACAGGCAGGTAGTAGGCAGCTACCAAACAGGGAGGTACTACAACCTGGGAAGATATTGGAAGCATAATGTATTGTCTAATGGTAGACCCTGCTGTCATATTGCATCACAAAAATTGTGACCAAGTCCCAGGTTACTGATCTGACTTTCTACATCATTTACATACAATTGCAGGCTCTCAATTGTTTCTCTTATTATCGACAACACAACATACATACAGTGGTCCCTCCATTAACGAGCAGTTCAATTTACGAGATTTTCGTTTACGAATTAGCTCCCATAAGGATTTTGAGTTCTATTAACGAGTACAACTTCTATTAACGGCAGCCTTACGAGAAACACACTTTGGTGCGTGCATCAGCTGATCAACTGATCTGCTAGTCCGCCAATACAGTACAGCAGTTCTCGACTTACTATGGGGTTAGGGACCGACGACCAGGGCGTAAGTCGAAAATGCAAAAATAATACATAGAAAATCTACCGGTAAATTGGGCATCTCTTTTTCTTCTCAGC